GGTTATCCTTTTCCCACTAGCAAGAGCCCATTGGAGCCTCCAGGATCATTGATTTTTTGCTTGCTACTGCAGGGGCATGCGCCGGGCACGGCTGTTGGACGCGGCTCGTGTCAATGCACCATCGCTGCTGCAGTCACCCCTCTTCCAGCGACTGACGCCTGCTCCTTTGCCTGGGCGGGACGGGATCTTGAAGCATAGGCGAGTGCGTCGACAGCAGCTGCGGTTTTTTGTGTATGCGCCTGCTCCACTCCGACCCTCTCCTTTTCACTGATGCTCTGTCTCTTTCTCTGGCTCGCCATCTCGCTTTAGCCTGTCTGGCTTTTTGTTGTGTTTATTCGACAGCTGAAAATTCAGGAAAGTCTCTTATCACATTTCCATCTCACATCTTTAAGCCAGGCCGAAACTTTAAATGGAAAATACAATATTATCGGCTGCAGGACTCGAGAAAAATCGAACAATTCACTTAATTTCGCTTCTTTTCGTACTGGGTATGTGAACATTTTAATCTCTTGATATTCAAATAATCTTTACCCATTAATGACACAGATCACCGCTTATCACGCACATTCTGGGGCAAATACAGTGGGAGATCGCTTTGACTGCCCCTGAACCGAATGCAGATCTCAAAACTACAAGTACTTTCCCTTAGCAGTCCGCCAATAGTACATATTGAAAGATTAGAGCAAATATTATTATTTATAGGTTCCGCTGATATTGTAGGCTCTGTCCCTCTCTCTTCATTTGTCTTTGTTGCTATAATTCTAAAGTGAAAAAGGTATGGCCTGCATGTGGCGGCTATAAACCTAGAAACAACATGAGGAATTCTTCTTTATCATTGACTAAAAACATGAAGTAAAACCCACCCATCAAAGCAATCTAACAGATACAGTGCAAATTACCACTAGAAAAAAGCAAGTTTGTATTTTACAAAGTTCAATCTCGAGTATTTCGAAACTATTCACTATTCAATTGGTGACGTACAAATGTAATCTTTTATTGATAACCTGTGATATGTGATTTTGTATATAGGAATGTCATTGCCTATCTACCTGCGTATACCTTTATAGAAACCACAACACCTGTAATCTTACTTGACATTTCTTAAGACACCAAGGAATATCTCTTATAGGTTTACTAGGGATCATAAAGATTGATCGATTTCTATAGATATTGCCATTCTCTTTGTTCTAGTTTCTAGTTATAATTTTACTGGACTGTAGACTATCTGTGCTGAAAATTGTGTTTAATCAAAGGTACTATGTACGAATGTGTTATTTTTAATTAGAAACCCATGATATGGCACAGTGCAGCCATATCTGGCAGGCTGACGCCATTGATCGTAGTTAGCAATTTCAAAGGAAATACCAGCACGTTCATCGTTATACTTGGTATTATGGGTATACAAAAAGATTGCCCAGTTGAATCATGCATGTATGGAAATCAGACTGGTGACAGTACGCGACATTCGCATAGTGAGGTGCACCTAGAATCGCATACACGATGAACTTTTATGATTTTATAAATAAATGCTGCTAAATTTACCAAGAAGATGTCGCGACGCATTTGAAAAATCTGCCCATAAATGCAGCAAATGTCTAGACGACTTTGACAGGTCTCTCTTGGAGGAGAGACCAAGTCGGAGGTGGAGTCCACAGTTCAACCGAAATCCGGCGTAGATGCAAATTCTATTTGTGGATAGAAAAGGCAAAATGCTGCTTTTACTTGGCTGTTTTTGTTTGTAGTTCCAAAAGATCATTTTGCTGACCACACACACACACACAGTTCAGAGGCTTGAGGCCCCAATGCGATTGCAGTTGTTGGACAAGTTTCAGCTGTAAATCCCTGGCTCAAGCCGAACGGCCTTGCAAGGCCTTTTAAAGTTGTTGCACTCGCCTTGTTCTTGTTGTGGCTATTTATTGTAAATGATTACTCACCCATACATACCCAAGCAGATCTCCCAGACGTATTACATTGCAGATGCAAAGGGTACAATAGCTATGATAACAAGTTGTAATAATACCCAAGGATAGAATGGATATTGATTCTTTTATGCACACTTTTATGCAACTACTGCAAAATAGTAGTAGTAATAGCCCACAGATGAATCAATGATTGATGCATCATCGAAACGGCTATAGAGTGTGTACAAGTTTCGGCATTCAATTTGGCCTCTCTTACTCATTATTTATATATAATTGTCTTGGTTGTTTGTTGCTAGGTTTGTGGTTTTTAATTGACAGCCAAATGCAGAGAGCCAAAACCGGTTTATTTTTGCTATATTTTTGCATTCAACTCTTGTGCGCAGCGATCGGCAATTGGCAGAAAAGGTGTCATAACAACAACAAGTTGGGCACGACTTCGACTTCGACTCCGATTCTCGATTAGATTGCCTATTACAACATCTGCGCTAGCCCTGCTCCCCTCTCTGCACCGCTGCCTGTGCATACCTGCCTCAATCAGGGCTAAGAAGTGCATGGGCTGGGGGAATTGCCGACGTGTGCCGGCAGCTGCAAGCCAACACAATCCCATCTGATCCCCGAAAAACGTAGCCAACATCTGCAACGACAGACCGGCAGCCCCTTGTCTGTGTCCTTATTGTGTCTGTTTTCAGTGAAAGGATCTCGCGGCACATGACGTTGCCAGCTGGCAGCTGCCACAGCTACTGCTCGGGGCAGCACAGGAGATCCTTTGTCCCTTGCAGACTTGAGGCCACGGACAGGCAACTAGGGATGCATTAAACAAGACCCAATACGGGCAGTGACTGTGGATCGGCCTGGAGCAAAGTCGTGATCTGTTCTGCCAACAGCTAAAGAAGAATATCTTTTGGAGTGGCATTTTGAGTGATGATTCTCCATTCTATCTCTACATATATTTAGTCTCTCTCCCAGTGTGGCTTCGCATGTAAGGGTTATTCAATTATCTGGTAGTGCATCACATTTTTTATGAAATGAATTGCATAAGACTCATCTTGTAGCATCACCTTGCAGATATTTGATTTTGAAACAGCTGTCAAAAGTCTAGTCTATGCTCGTATATTCTAAGAATTGTTTTACTAAACTAGGCGATTCATTGATAAAACACATCAAATGCCAAGCGTCGGAAATGCTTTTCTGTTTATGACAAATTCGTAGTAAAACTAAATGACACATTTATTTAGTTACGTACATTTGTACATACCAACAGCCCCACAAGTGTTTTCTGCTGTTTCTATGTTCTGTAAATAGTTCTTATCTTTTCTATCTTTTTTAATTTTTAGAGCCGGCGCTAATTAGCCATGACAATGAAACGCAATGTGTTTTGAAATATATGAAAACACTTCGATACACATTGCTGAATAGTTCATTAATCTATAAGATAAGACAGATACAACTTGCTGTCTAAGAGTTTTAACTGGAACTAAAGTTCATAGTTGCACAAAAGTGGGTTTACTCTTGAAACTAAAGTGCAAATATGAATGAGGTAAGCCGCTGATTATATAGGCAAAAGCAATCAATCTTTGAAACCTACGCATAAGGCTGTAAATGCTGTAAATGGAAACGGCATTGAGCGGTAATTAAAAATAAGAAAATTCTGGTGAGGCAAGTTCTAGGCGTGGGTGTGGGAATGGGTGTCATGGGGTGTTTTCTGCTTGGTTTCGTCATGAATGAAATGCGCTGCAACGTCAGCATCATGGGGCTAAAATACAAAAGCACGGAAAAACAATCTAAAATGTGTGTGAAAATCTCCCTAGCTGCAGATGAGTTAGAGCAGGATGGCTATATGTACTGTATATGCATAGGGGAGTGAAGGGGTTGTCTCTTGGGTATCTTGGGTGCAGTTCTAGGGGTGGAGATTGCACACGATTTCGAAATGCCTGGAAAATTCTAGTGGGGAAAAGGAGTGGAGTATGCATGACATGAATGAAGAGAGTCGTTCAAAGTGCTTTGGCAAACCCTAACCTCGGGTACCCCCCATTAATGGGAAGCATTCTGTATGTTAATGACCCGCACTCCGCCCCCCAAAAAAAAGTCTCCCTAAAGATCATAATTTCCTACATTTAATCGAATTTAAAACTCACCAAAGACATTTTCAACGAATAATCCTAACAAGATATCATTGGAAATAATTATTTTAGTTACCCGCACTCGAAATTTTTGACTCTGTACTTTTGCAATAGATTGAATAAGATAATTTGCACTGCACTTTGAAATGTTTGTTTTGTGATAGAACTTTTTATCGGACCGGAACGGAACGGAACGTTTACTGCGACCGACCGGTGGGTTGGCTTGTCTCGCTGCGACTACGGCAAAACTATTCTATGGCCCCGTCTAACCCACATTCCCACTTCCCATAGGGTACACACAGTCATTTGTATGCACATATTTGTTATTTTTTCATTTGTTTTTTGTTTTGCTTTGCTTTCTAGCGTGGCAGCGGTGCGGAAAGCGTAAAATAGTGTTGCGCGCCAAAGCACTGCGCAATTTTTTTTTTGGGGGTGGGTGCTATGAGAGAGCACAACACGCCTCTCTCTCGCTTTCGCATAATCTCTTTGAACTCAGGGGTAGGGTGGTCCTGTTTATAAAAGAAAAACTGAATTTCTTGGAGAAATTACGACATCAGTTAGATATCAAGGACATTTCTGTGTTTAAATGCGAAAAACGGTTACAGCACGTTTTGAATATATTCCTGCATCCCTGCCAATAGAGCTGCCAGATATATTTTATTTTCATATTGTGTACACACTGTTTGTGGTATAATTTGTTTTGTGCTGCCACTCTGACTCATAGTTGCGTTTGACCATTGAAAAATTTTACCGAATATCATAACACTCAAAAATAAAAAGTACACCCTCTTTCTACTTTCTAGTGATTTAGCTTCGGTAAATTGCGTTGAAATCGACTTACAGTTAGATTTACTCTATTTCGGTATAAAAAATAGTATATTTCAGCAATTGTTTGGTATATCACGGTATATTTATGACGGTCCCACCATGTATATTTTATTAATAACACCGCGGTCACACTGCGTTTACAGTTTCGTGCGGACGAATTTTAGAGCAAAAATAATAAATAAGCGAAAATATGCAAAATAAAGTGAAATACTTGTGCTCCGCACAAATGAAGCGCGCTAGCATTGCGTTCGCTACCCAATAAGCCCGATCGACCATACTAACGCCCCAAAAGTGGCCCGCTGCAAACAGGGGAAAGGTGCGTGCCCTGCGTTTCTCGTTTTTTTGGTGTGTGAAAAGTTTCTACTGCAATCCATTTTTCTCTACGTGCGTACGTGTGTGTGTGTGAGTGCCAGTGCCAGTGAGTGCTGCTGTACGATGGAGTGGGGAGCTGTATAAATGCCTTTACATAATTACACGCAAAACGAAGAGTGTGTTTCCGTGCAGTGCTACTGAAAATTATATAAATTGTCAAGAAGAATTTGCGTGCGTGAAAAAAAGAGCGGCTTCCATCTTTCGTTCTATTTACCCGCGACGTCAGCGTCGCGGCTGTTGAATTTATGTCAAATTGGTAACACTCACACAGCCATGCTGAAAATACGGCAGTGTTGCATGCAGGCCCTATCCATGTGCATGTGATTGACTGTGTGTGTAGCTGAGCGAGTGTAAGAGCGGGAGAGAGCTCCCGCGAATGATAAACAAAGTGAAGAAAGGAGGCACAACGGTTGTTCTGTTCTTTTGTGTGTTTATATTCCATTCTCACTCTCTTCTTGTCTGTCTTTTGCAGCATTAGAATGGCAAGAAAGTGTGTTTTAAAGCAAATTCCACAAAAAGGTGCGTGATAAATGCAACAAACTGTAAGCCAGAGCGAGCGAGCAATCAACTACACCAACTGCATGTGTTGTGTCGTCGTGTGTGTGAGAGAACGCGCGAGAGTGTGTGCTAGAGAGAGAGAGCGAGAGCGAGTGTGTGTGCAGTGGAGTGGGAAAGAAGCACGGTAAAAAGAAACGCCAAGAAGTTTGCCATCATCTCTCTCTCCATTCGCTGATAAAGCAGAGAGCAAATAAACGCACACAAACACACACAGAGTGATACACGAATCGAGTGGAAAATAGAAAAACAATAATCAGCAAAAGCAGCCGAGCGGGAGGAGCGTGTAGAAACAGTAAAGTGTAAAGATCGAAAATCGAAAGTGTGAAGCATTTTGTCTATAAATAGTGCACAAAAAACACCCAAATTACCAGTGGAAAAAAAGTACTAAGTAAACCGCAAAAAAACCATCAATACACCGAATAATCCCTAGTGGAACACGTCTCGGAGTCCGCCCAACACAGTCAGCCAGCTCCCAGCCCCCAGCCGCAACATGTCCACCCTGGACGCGCGCAATAACTCGGCCATGATGAAGCGGGCCGAGCAGCTGAAGCGCTGGGAGGAGTCGGACACCAACCGGGCCGCGGGCACGCCCCGCCATGAGCACGGTCGCCGCATCAAATTCAGCTCCGGCTGCGTCTTCCTTGCCGCTTGCCTCTCCGGCGACAAGGATGAGGTTATCCAACTGCTCGACCAGGGCGCTGACATTAATACTGCCAATGTGGATGGCCTCACGGCCTTGCATCAGGTGCGTCTTTATCCCCTCGAATCCCTGAATTACATCAGACGCCTGCATCACGCGATCACCACCCGATGGGGGTGTGTCGGGTGTGGCCGCAGGGTGGCTGGCATTTCGAAACTATTGCATCCAACTGCGCCGCTGACATTGTACAGTGGGTGGTGTAGCCTGACCCAGTGGTCAAATTGTTGGAAGGGGAAATATTTTCATATAATTTTGCCCCTCCATGGCGCGATTTATAGCCGGAGAGACTAATATTGAGGGTAATTTCTGGAATCTCAAGGATTCTGCCAAGAAATCTTTCCAAGGTCAAAACTGCATGAATCCTTAAGCGGTTCCCAAACAGTTTTGCCCCACTGTGCATTGCCATTCTCTAGTTATAGTTATTGTTGCGTATTTCGTGCTCTCTCTATAGTTTCAACACTGCCACACAGCCAGCCGCAACAAGCACTAAAACATTAACCAATATGTACAACAAATACATATAAATTCCTAATGCAAGCCGACGATTTACAAGTCGAATGAATACCCAAAACCCCAACAGCAAAAATGAACAGCAAACGGCACGAGCAACGGGCATTAAATTAGGAAAATACTCAAAATTGTCTATTTTTAAATCGCAAGAAAATATACAATACCTCTCTCTGGCATCGCAACGGATCGCACAACACACATGAAAGCGAGTTTAATTATTAAAAGGAAAAACAAAAACCATATTTTGCAAATTCATTTTCACATTTTCGCTCATTTGTCTGGCGACTTGTTTTTGGCCATATTAATAGTTAAGAATGAATTTTGGATGGAAATCCTTTGATATTTCATCTGATGAAATGATTAAACTATAATGTTTGGATTTGGCTTTCTTTTAATGCATTTTGTATGCTCCTTTTGCTAAGAAATTTCATCATTCAAAAGCTCTTTCTCTCTCACTCTGGATATCTGCTGTTTGTCATCTTGCATGATTATACCGCTTCTCCGTATAGCACTCACTGTCTGCTCCAATTCTGTGGATAATTGATTTTAATTATGCTGCGCCTCCAAGTGCCCGTGGCAGTGCCTGTTTCCCGCAAGAGTCAGTCGTAGATTTTCACCGTTTAACCGCGACGGCGCACTTGTTAACCAGATGCTAATTTCCACACACAACGGGGATCATTATTTGTGGGATTCGTTGGGGGACTGGGTTCACTGTAATTACAACTAAAAAATGATAATAATAGTAATTGAAGTAGCAGGAGGAAGGAGGGAGACAGGTTAGAACAGTGCAACGTTTTGAATTACCCGCTGGCTTCTCCAGTTGTGGGTTTTGCTAAACCGCAAAACAAAAACTGAATTTCACGATTGCATTTATTATAATAATTATCCCATCACTTCACCGTCAATTTTTCTTTACGCTTTTCCTTACTCTTCTGAAGGGCCACGCAATTTTCACATTCAAATGTGCATATCTGTAGATATGTATGTGCCTTTGGGCCTTCATTCATTCATAAGCTTTGACAGGCAACAAACTAGGCAACAGGCAAACAGCCACCACCTCCGAAAGCACCACACACCAGGCACCTGCACCACATTTTCAATGGCAGGCGCCGGTCGACACGAGCTGCAGTTGGAGCACTGGCACAGTGGGGCCATGATACATGAAATTTAAATCGTCTTTTTTAGCTTTGATTCTCCTTTCCTTTGCATTGTTTTCTCCCTCTCCCAGTGTGTCTTAACAGTAAAGGGTGGATTTCCTTCAAAGATGTTTTTGATGTATTTTCTGTACTTACCATATGAATATGTGTAAATCCGAATGAAAATAGGCAACACTGTGCACTGTTTTGCACCTTGGACTATGTCTAAATGATGATGACTGATGGAAAGAAAGATATAGGAAGTGGAGGAGGGTCAGGGGATTCATGGCGAGTAGTGACCATCAGTCGTGTTTATGGTTGACTTTGATTTTCATTTTGGCCTACAAAACGCCGCTACGCTACGCTCTGCATTCAATTTTGGGAAAATTATCAAAAAGAAATGGCCATAAATTTACACAGATATATCTGATATATATAAGGATAGTTCAAGGATAATGCAAGGTTTCTTTTTCATGAATTTTTCTTAATTTTCATGGTCTAAAATTATAATTAGAAATATATTTTGGAAATACGTGGGCAACAACGTCAACAATATAAATTTAATTCAAAGCATCGGTGTGGAATAGAAATTATGTGTAGGGGTCCAGGAATAGTTTAATGAATAATGAACCCGTTTCCAGCTGTGAAACATTCTTTAAAAATCACCTTAAGGTTTTTCCACTGTCTCATCCATCGCCTTGAGTTTTTGCCATTTGAAGTATGTTTAATTATCGTACTTTTCAGCCAATTAGCAATTGATTTAACAGATTTTCACAGAGAGTGATCAGTGAGGGGAAGGAGTGGGAGAGAGGGGGCTGTCTACCGCGCATAAATTAAGAAATTATTCTGTCAAGATTCCTCTCAAATTGAGCCATAGATTTCAGCAGCTAAACGAATGCATAATAATCATAACAATCGTTGATCCGTTGACATGACGATCGTGATCTATGAATCGATGACCAGATCGCGATCTGTAGATCCTGTGCTGGGTAGAGAGGGGGGAAAAGCTGCGTGAGTTTTTCCTAAAAAAAAAAAAATAATACATAAATTTCAAAGATAGATGTTTGAGGTTTTTGGTTTGGGGTTGATTTTTATGCGGTTTATTGTGTCTGTCGGCGGCTAACGCGCTTTATTGACGTGTTTTCTAACCTTGGCCCGGTTCTCGGGCAGACGGACAGACAGAGAGACAGCCAGATGGACGGACTGGCGCTTCTGATGGGACGGACAGCTGTGGAAACGCACTGTTCAAACGGAGATAGCTACAGATACAGATACACATGAGAATATCCTCTCAAGAATTAACAGAGCGCGCGTGTATATAGAGTGGAAGATGATAGTTTTAGTTTTGTATTTGCTGTATTTCTATTTCTCTCTGCATCTGTATCTGTATCTCTGCTTCGTTTTGTATCTTATGGATTTGTATATAAATGGTCGGCTACACTTGATTTGATTTATTTCTCGTTTCGTGTTTTACACCCAAAAAATAACAAACGATTCTCATCGAAAGCCTGCCTGAATGCCTGTGGCAGGCTAAAAATCTTTGCGAATGATCAAAAATGATACAACAAAAAAAAGATACAATTTTGTGATGTGATGTCCGCAGTGGCAGTGCCTGCTCTCGGGGATTGCCGCCGTCTGTATACATATCTCTGTGTATCTTACTGTACTGTTTGCATTGCATAATACCATTTCAAGCAATAGAACAGCCGCAGCAGCAGGCAGCCACAAGCCACGGAATGTATGCAATTGCTGTGTTACAAAACCCAACAAAAGTTCTCTTCCTCTCCCCCTCTCACTATATATTCCGATTATTAGAAATGTTCTGCCACAAATACAGATACAAATACACGAACGCATAAACAAATGTAACTGAAACGAAAACTATAGGAAAATAGTATTATTTTTGCCAAAAATCATGACGACATGCGTCCAGAAATAGTTTTATTTTTGACCAGAAGGCGGCTAGACCGATGGATTTAATTTATTTCCCATTTAGCTGAACATTTCTTTGTTTTAATCCCTTTTTCACTTGTGCGAATGACGAACATGGGATGTAGAAATATCCCATAAACGAAAGGGTAAATTATTTATTACAGATGAGAGGCCTTGAGTGATGTGGGATTTACTTTACGACAACTGAAAGAACAAACAGAACAAATCCAATATAATTCCAACTCAAATGCAAATAATTCAGAATCTTAACTAAATATTTGATAGACGTAACAGAAAACTGCATTCGAGGAAAGTGTAGATATACTGTACAGGGGAATTATCAGTTTAAGGTTTTCACACTTGAGGCTGCAATCTTGGGTACAAAATAAGCATTGAATGAGATAAGATACATGTATAGCTAACGATTACTTTGTATAGAAACAAATAACGCATGTCCCAGATAGTAAAAACCAATTGCAGTTTGTCCAAAAGTAAAACAAGTTCTGGTCGCCTAATCTATAAATCAAATATTGAATATTTAATAACTAAACATGTGATAATGGGGCACTTATTGACGGTTACCCGTAGATTCAATCAGAGAGATATTTTCGGGGCATTTTTAATGGAACGTTGCACCATTGAGTGGGATAAGCGAGAGCAACCTTAACAGAACGAGGGGAAAGGGAACAACCGAAGGGGTTTAATGATACAATTTAGAGGAGGAACAGGAAGAGGAATGCTATTATTCTGAAACATATCTTTCGCATCTAAAAACCAACTAAAAAAGTATCTCAAAATTGGATAAAATTGAAGAATCTGAAATTAGGAAATCGATTTGATATTTGTTTCGTTTCTGTGTGTTGGTTTATCCCATCGTTTGTTTATTCGACATTTTGTAATCGTTCGTGTTTCATTATTTTTCACAACCTTTCCATGGCATGCCAGATGTCTTCTGGCCCCACCTGGTGGCCTAAAACAGAAAAGAAGGAAATGATTCCACTGACCAGAATCTGAGAATCCCAAATAGGCCATTGAGGCAGGCAGAAGTCGTTGAAGACCGATTTGGCAAAAACTATCCCACTGACGATATATGAGAACTTTTTGTACAACAAGAAAAGCCAAAAGAAAAATATATTTGAAGGCTTTTTCAACGCAGAGAGAGAGAGAGAAAGAGAGAGACCGAGCAAATGCCTCGTGATATATAGATTTTGAGATTCTATAGGTACGTTTTACATACATTTGTTTGCTTGTATGTTTATGTATGTATAATCTTTGGTTGTATATTCATATGGCTTATGTATATTCTTTTTTTTGCACTTTTATCTCTGGTGGCGTGGCGCTAATTCAAATTTGTAATTTATTGAACTCAAGCGGTTGCTCGTTTCGTCTATTTTAGAGCGTCTTACGATTGTATTATACATACATTTTTGGGTTGAATACATAGGGATGGAATAGGTCAATGTATGCCAAAAGAATGTCTTTGAATATCTTCATTTTTTATGGGTTATGGCAAGCGAAGCTTATTTGCATTTTTGGGACCATCCATTGTATGAATGCTTCTGTTTTAAAGTGATTTTTGGTGAATATTTAAAATGTATATTTTGGCCATAGTTGTGGAAAAAGCTTTCATTTTATTATATTCAAGCTTTTAATCACTTTCCCGTGTCCCTAATCTGAGTTCCATTCAAGTAATTAGTCCCACCATTAAGTTGTAAGCCAGGCTTGTGTGCAGGCCACAGACAAATGGTGCATGGCGCTTAGCAAACCGCCTGCATAATGAGCCGCGTTAAGCTGTTGGCTGTTGGCTGCTGCGGCGGCTTCGGTGGCGGCCCAAAGTCTAAAAGCTGTCTCAACAAGTCGCTGCTGTGCCTCGGCTTTGGCCTACGCTGCGTATACGTAATGTTGCGGCGAGGTGAATAACATTTGGCGGCGGCAACGGCAACAGCAGAGGCAGCGTCAGTGGCAGTGGCTGCCGCTGAAAATGCCGCTCAATGGCGTGCCAAAACAAAAGGCTAAACTTAGCATGCAATTTTCGCGTACCCTGTACGCGTAGAGACCATGGGGTATGCTCTGTCTTAAGTGCTACAGGCTAAAACAGATAGAAATCATTACAATCTGGCAATTACTTGAACAATGTGCTTTGTTCTTCTACTCTAAATATGTTTTGCACCCATTAGTTCTGTTTTATTTTCATAAATTTCTTACAAAAAGGAAAGAAATCTGCGTTATAGGGTATCCCAAAGTCATCATATCTAGTTCTATTGCTGCTGCTTATTGTTTTTGTATTTTTTTTTTCGTTGGTTGCTAGGCCTCTGTGGGCCTCCCAGCACAAAATGTGATGTTGCCTTCAATGCAAAATGGAAATAGCCCAGAATTTGGTTGTTGCTCCTCTGACATTAAGGCCCAAAGAGGAGCAGGGTGGTGGCAGCGGGGGGACAGCTGCTACAGCTACAGCACCGTCAGTAAATATCTCTGATGGAATAATAGCTCGTGTCAAACAAATATTTTGCATACCAAAAAGTCATTGGACATTGGTCGTCCATGGACGGCTGGGATGGTCACGCGTGGGCGGTGACAATTTCCCCCATACCCATATCTTTCCCCTTCCCAGCCTTCTGCAACGATCAGCAGCGATGTTTGTCCGTCATTTCGGTTTATCAAAATTGTTCATAATTAATTAATTGGCTGAGTTCCAGATTTACAAATTGTTTGCTCGTCGTCGGGCCGGCCACCCGCTGTCTCTTTCTATCTCTGCCTGCTTCTACTTCTAGCCATTCTACGCTCTAGCTCCTTCTCTCTCCCGCCTGCTACTTCTAGCTCTTTCTTTTCCTCTTTCTTTTGTTGCTGTTGTTGTTTTTTTTTTTAATGCGTTTTACTGCGAAATGGAAATTGCTTTTAAACGACGGCCAAAAAGTCACTTTGAAGCTCACCCAAATGAAGAATGTGAATTACCATATGCCCGGCGCAACACACACACGCAGAGCGAGAGATAGAGAGAGACAGAGGAAGCGAGAGAAGTAGAAGTCGAAGAAGAAAGAAGAAGCTCGAAATGTAGGCTCTTATCAGAATGCCAGCAAGGGGTGGGGTAGGGTTAAAGAGAGAGGGGGGGGGGGGAAATAGAGTTGGCGCTCTTTTGCTTTTCGTGTCGTTTCTTTTACTTTCTTTTCTGCTTTCAAGAATGCTTATCGGTATTCGTTCGGGGCATTGTTATGGGTCTGTGCTGGTCTGTGGACTGTAAGGGATTGGTGGTGGGGGCGCAGGGAGGATGATAGCGGCGGCCCCAAAGAAGCAACAATGCCGGCGGAGTCGCTGCCGCCACACCACAACGATGATATCATCGTTGTCGTCGCTGCCGTTGTCGTCGAAGATGTCTAGGCGGAGGCTTCAGCGGAAATCCGCATAAACACCCAAGAAACATTCTGGAGCGTCTGTGGGTGTCCCGTCCCGTTCGTTCGTCCATCCATTCCATATGTTTACATTAACGTTTTAGCAACAGATAAAGATAAACACGGGAATGTATAACATTTCACTAGATACACATTTTATACAAAAGAAAAATCACTGCGAAAAATGACTAGGGGGAAAACTCTAAGAGTGTGCCACAAAAGGTTGATTCACTTTTAATGCATCTGCATACAATTTATACAGTTCGGGAAAGAACATTTCGACAGTAAATTGTTTGTAAATAAATATCCAATTTGGCCATGTTTTTGACCTTTTTATTTATATTATAAATCTGGGTGCTGGCGGGGAGCTTTTGTATAGAAACAAATTGATATTTTTTGTACTTTTCCTCGACCTTTCTTTTGCCCAAATGTTCCTTCAAGTAGTCATTCGTGTGCCCGTCGCTCTACCTCTGATTCAGCGATGATTTCATTTACTCAATCGATTGTAACTGACAAATGCATTTCCTTAACCGTTTACAGGCCTGCATTGATGACAATCTGGACATGGTTGAGTTTCTGGTGGAGCGCGGTGCCGACATCAATCGTCAGGATAACGAGGGCTGGACGCCGCTGCATGCCACAGCCTCCTGCGGGTGAGTTACCTAACCCAAGTGATTTTTCTTTCAAATTGATAATCCTTTTCCGATTCCTTTTAGATTTGTGAGCATAGCACGCTATCTGGTGGAGAATGGTGCCGATGTGGCCGCCGTGAACAGTGATGGAGATTTGGCACTGGATCTGGCCATCGATGTGCAGCACATGGCCATGATTGACTACATGGAGAAGATCGTCCAAGAGCTGAACATTGATGTTGAGCAGGCGCGCAAGGCCGAGGAGCAGGCGATGCTGAGCGATGCCAAGAAGTGGCTGCGCAGCGATGCCGCCGAGGTGGACCGGCCACACCCGAAGACTGGGGCCACGGCGTTGCATGTGGCTGCGGCCAAGGGCTATACGAAAGTTTTGAGCCTGCTGCTGGCGGGACGCGGTAATGTGGATCGTCAGGACAACGATGGCTGGACGCCGCTGCATGCCGCCTCGCACTGGGGCCAGCGGGAGACATCCGAAATGCTTGTCGAGTCCCTGGCCGACATGGATATACGCAACTATGCGGGACAGTCCTGCATCGATGTGGCCGACCGTAAAATAGTCAAATTCCTGGAAGAACTGCGGGCCAACAAGCGCAACAAGCGGCGTCCATCTAGTCAAATCAGGTTGGTCCTGGATGATATTTCTGAATTTACAATGAATAATCAATCCTTTCTCTTGCAGCAGAATCTCAGATACGATTGAAAATCATGTGGATAAGACGCCCACCAAACTGGTGCGCGTTGAAGTGAGAACTGATGCCACAAAGGATGGTGCGTATAATCACAAATCCTTCACCTCAGAGAACCTGATTGGTGTTTTGCCTAATAATCAAAAAGCTTTCTTTGATTTCTCGCACAACACACAACAAACCACAACACCTCGTCCTGTACTTTGTCCTTTGTTTAGGTTCTCATGCGCGTTAAAAAAATCACAAAAAACCTTGTTCTGTTTTGTCGGAGCATTTATTTGTAATCGTGAAACATTTGCCACTGCCTTTCCGCCTTTGTATAATTTGCAAATTCATTTTGCATTCAAGCATTTTTCGCTCATCTTCAGATCATCTTTCATCCATAGAAAATCATAGAAATCCCCCCAAATCTCTCTCAATCTCTCTGTATGTTCTCTCTTTATCTCTTATCTCTCTATTTCTGTGTATTTTGTGTCTATTGTCTCTTGCTTGTAATTCACGCACACTGCAGCTGCCAGCAGTTCAAACTGCGCTTCCAGTAGTGAAGCTTCGCTTCCAATCGATGATGTTGATGATGATGATGCTGTGGGCCACGAGAGCGATGCGGAAGAGCTGAGCGATTCCACGGAATCCTCACACACCACAAGTCTATCTGGCGAGAGCGAAGGTAGTCGGCATTTGTTTTGCGTCTCGATTCAGGAATTAATCACAAAAAGTCTTCCCTCTCTCTGCCCGCTTACGAACCCATAATCCCACTCCATGTCTGAAACCTTTCTGTGTGTCGTGTTTGCTTTTAATATTTCTTAACTAAAACATATTTTCATTGCATCTTTTAGCCGAGAATGTGAAGCCCAATCATGCCGTCGAGCACCCAGTCGAGGAGGAGGCACCCTGGCGACGCAAGATGCCACGCGCACCCAACGACAGTCCCACTAATAATCGTAAGTCCGAACTGATCGTTTCCTATCTTATACCTAATCTCCATCTCTCTCTCTCTTGCAGAAGTTCCTGATAGAGAGCTTAGCAGCAATAGCTCGGAGAGCGCCAACGATGTCATATTGCGACGCACCCAAAGCTTTGAGAATGATCAAAAGTGAGTTGTGAATAGAAGAATCTTAAGCTTTTGACAGAAATGCGTGCCACACACACACACAGACACACATAAACACATACCAAATACCTCAAAATAACAGATTAACCTACATATATAGCTAATATATACATTTATTAGCTATTATAGCATTAATCTGCCAAAAGTTTCGATTAAATGGTGGATTTTGTTTGCAGTTTTTGTTTCACTTTTGCTGACTGCATTTATCGCTTATCATTGTGCCCCCCTCCTAACACACTCACACACACACATATACCACCCACAAAAGCCAATGAAAAAAACACTCATTGTTGATACGAATATCAAAATCAAAGCGTAAACAGATAACGTAATCAAACAATTGATATGCGAATATTTTGGGTACGGCAATTGTTCAAATTTACCTCAATGCTCTCATGCGTTCAGTCACGCTCTTTCTGCGAACAAGCGATAGCCGTTACTCCTCTCTCCCGCTCACTGCAGAAAGCAGTAAACCACTCACTGCTCTCACTCTCTAATGCAGAAAAGAGTCTATCTCTCTATGATTCATATGCTCCCATTAGCGGCCAAGGCTTCTATTCGGTTCCATTCCCATATGAATCCGGAAGCCAGTGCACTCCGGCAAAGTGAAGCAGAAACAGCAAAAAGATCCTAAAATATTAAATCAAACACCAACAAAAGCAGACACACAAAACAAGAGAGAACAAAAAGTTTTGTTTTTAGTTTTAAAATTTTGTTTTTGTTCTGTTTTTTTTTTCTTTCTTTTTCTCCGCTAATTTATCGATCAACCAATTGAACAAAACCGATCAAAATCGATAACAAACTCACCAACGCACCGCCAAAAACCAACAACAACAACAACTCATCATAAAAAAAAAACGCTTATCCAAATCTAACCTGCCCGCTGCCCGCCCGCCTGCCTGCCACTGCCACCACCACCACACGCCTGCCACCGCCACACCAACGTCTAACGTCCAACGTCCAATCTGCCGCTGCTGCTTGTCACAGATTCTATCAAAAGTACAATGAGCTGCGAGCCCGCATAAAGGCCAACTCCTGTCCCATTCTGCCAGCGACTGCGGCGTCACAGGCGGCTGCCGCCGCCGCCGCTGCTGCTGCGAATAATTCAAATTCCAATAACAACAATAATATAAGTAGCAATAACAACAACAAATTTAACAACAATAACAACAACAAAAGCGCTCTGCTGCTGGGATCAACAACAAGAACCACAAATAACACTGCAACAACAACAACATCCAGTACATTCAACAACACAACAACAAGCACACCACAAACAGCAGCAGCAGCCGCAGCCGCAGCAGCAGCAGCAGCAGCATCCACTGCTGCAACAACAAATCCATATTATAGCGTACAAAGATCGGCCTCACTCAAAGATAACTCAATGTATTACAGGTTTGTTTTCGCACCGTACACATACACACACTTACACTGCTGTGCCGTAGCTGTGCACCCTAAAAAACTAGATCAGATTGGGATAACATAAAGCCAAGATTCGTAACGAGGAAAATGAACAGTTGACTTTCGTGCAAACAAGAAGTCAACCAACAATAAACAAAACTGATCTAGTTTATGGTGAACTGCTATAGCTACTACAACTACTACTATCATATCATAACTATTAACCTAATGTGTCGTAACTCTGTAAGTGAATCTCTGCTTTCGCTTAGCTTCTTCATTTGTTCCGCCCTAAAACCGAATACCATTTTGCACCAAACTCTGTTTAACAAAATCTCTTATATTCAGCCACGCACAAATGTCGTCTACCTATGCTCTTGATTGTGTTCTCTCTTAAACGCTGTGCAGCACTCACTCTTACGTGATATTTTCTCTTGTGTGTTTTGTCTTAGGAAACCGACCGTTACAGTTGCCACGCCCACAAGCACAGCAGCCACAGCAACGACAACGCACCTTAGTTCACCATCGACGAATGTACTAACCCCACCAATACGCAGGTTAGTTTCCATAATTTTGTACACTCTTATACAACTCTTGAAATATTTATACGATTCTTGATGAACGGTTAGCCAAGTCATAGCGAAAACCACTGCCCAGAGCAATAATGGCAGCTCTTCGACGGCCAGTGCCAGTGCCAGCGATGCGGAGAATGCCAAGCCTCCGCCCAAGCAATCAACGGGCAATATAATCAAGAATTTCTTCAAGTAATACGAGAAACCTTTTGTGTTGTGTTGTGTTGAGCCTAACCTCCAGCCTTGATGCTAAGCTGATCGTTTCGTTAACCTTCAAAATAGCTGTCTTTTGTGTTAAGAGACGCAAGAAAGCAAGCCTAACCTCATACATAAGCTCTGCTAACCTTACAAATATCTGCCACTGTCGTTAAGTGGCGTCTAGCCTCAAAAGTCAGTGCTGCTAAAGCCTTTTTCCGCTCCCATTTAACTCGTTTTGTGTAGCATGAACAGCGGAACATACGTTCCATATTGGATTATTTAAGGAATATCAAATTATTATAAACTCACGAATCTCTCTCCCACTTTTAGATCTTTTGTACCGCCCGTGCGTGACGAGGAGAGCGAAACACAGCGCAAAGCGCATGCCAAGAGAGTCCGTGAGACGCGTCGGTCCACCCAAGGTGTTACCCTGGACGAGATCAAGAGTGCCGAGGAGTTGGTCAAGAAGAAGAACATGGGCATGTCCAACAACAATAATAATAACAACAATAACATCAGCAGCAGCGGCAGCGTAAGTACTCCCGTGTCCCAAAACCAAGACACCATCACCAACACCCAACCACCCAATCAATAGCCAGTATCAATCACCATTCAGAACAAAAATCAAACATCTACAAACATTCACGATCGTCAAGCCAGAGAGGAGTAGCATCTATCTCTATGTCCATTATCCCCATTATCTGTAGGGAGTACAGAGTCATCCACACACACACACACACACACACGATGTCCACTTGCAGTCCACAACCCCCCAAATCAATCAATCAAATGTCCACAAATACACCAAAAAAAAAGAGTACAAAAACTGCTTATGGTTATGGTGTCCCCCTGTCCCCATGTTCTTTGTATCTTTTAATGTGTGTGTTCTGTGTATGTTCATTCATAAATTGCACAAATAAACACGCTGGCAATCAATCAATCAATCAAAGTAATGTATGCTAGTTTAGTTGTGCATCTGTGGATGAACATATACTAGTATGTATACTAAAATAGTTATTGTAGCGTAGCAAAAATCATCCAGCAAAACAGAATGCAACAGTTTTGGACGCATCAAAGTATGCTATGCAAAATGAAGAAATAAATAGACCCAAAAATGTAGTTGAAGCGTTGAAGCTAATATTGATCTAACTAATAGACTTTCCTGTCCATCTTGATCTTACTAAGCAGATGGAAGTACGGGCACATCGAAATATAACTGACAGACCCTGCATTCTGTTTCTGTTGTTTTTGCCTCACCCCATAGCATCCGCCCCATACGTAGGCCAGTTGTCATCACTTTACAAACAGATCAATCATCGATCAATCAGTGCTCATTTAGTGTACGTTGCCACCCATTCGATTAACCGCCAATCAAGTTGAGTTCTTTCTGCGTTTGTGCCACTGCCACGCCCTGTTACGCCTCGCCCGCAGTTTGTGCCCCCTGCCCGCTCGCCTCAGCGTCAATCAAGTACAGCCAGCCTCTCATCAATGTTGAGTATTCTTTAATAGCGGTGCCATATTATTTTATGATTTCTTCCCCCCAACAACAACCATCATTGCCAGCATTGCCAGCATTCAGCGCAGATCAGTGAACCATAGCCGCCGGGAATTTGCCATTCCTATTCGTATTTTTTATCGTTTTAAGTTATTTTCTAATGGCCCACATAGAGATCTATAGTGGGCCTGTATTATCCTATGTATAGAATATGTTTTTGTATGTCTATGGAATATGTTGATGATTTTTTCATTTTGCATGTCCCATCCGCATGCATTCGTAGTGTATTCTCCACAAACCGGGCCACACTCTACGTATACGTATTCGTAATCGTATGTTATGTATATATTTTATATCTATCTATTTATTACCGATTTAGTAGCTATCCTTCCCCCTGCCCCACAGAGATTGATTTTTGAGCAAAGAACATTGCCTTAGGACCACTGTTTTTTATTTGTTCCAAAAACTAATATTATTAACAGAACGAAACAAGCGAAACAGCGGCAGAGACAGACACAGCCACAGCCACAGCAGAGCCATCATCCATCAGCGATGCAAGCCAGCAAGAGCAGCAACCTCCACCACCGCCCACCACGCCACCGCCAGCCATAATACCCACCAGCGACGAGACGGAGATCGAGACCATTCTGGCACCCAGTCCAGTGCAAAGTGGAAACGACACCACGGCCAGCTTCACACTCTCCGCTCCATCCAGACGCTCTCTGGTGGTCGATGACGACGATGCCGATGCCGGGATCGATGTCGATGATCCAGAGGCAGTGGTCAGTGCCAGCTATACGATAGTTTCGCTGCGGGACAAGATACCCGACAGTGCTGAGCGTGAGCAAGAGCAGGTGGAAGCCAACAAACAAAAGACTGACGAGCAGCAGGTGGAGAGCGAGGAGCAGAAGGCGAGGCCCACAGATCTGCCACTGAGTGCGGCCACAACTGAGGCCATCAAGTCATCCTCCTCGACCACGCCCGGTTCGCTCGAGAGTCCAGTGCGCTTGCGGGACAAGCGTGGCCTGTCCGGCAGCAGCCAAGAGACGGATACAAAGTCCGAAACTGCCTCGCCCGTGTCTGCACATCCAGACTTTAATGCCCGCGACTCTCTGCTCAGTTTATATGCGCGACGCACAACAGAAGGCAGTGGAGGATCAGCAGCAGCAACAGCAGGTGGTGCTGGTGGTGCGGGTGGCAGCTCCACTTCAACATCGACAGCAGAACGACGTCCATCTTGGCGCCTGAAATTCGATGCCGGCTCCAAGGTATGCCCCACACAAACCAACCGAAACCCTCTAACCGAAACCCAGAGTCCTTCTTATATACTCGATATATGTATATCAAAGACTGTATCTCTCGATCGATTGTCTTTAATATTTTTTGTTACATCTAAGCGTAGCATGGATTTAGTATTGTAATAATTATGGTTTACTAAAGAATGAAAGAATACCCCTGCTAGAGAATGGTTAAAACAAAGACAATTGTGATTGAAGAAAATAAATTAAATATTATCTGAAATAGAAACCAGATCGCAAGGGAATCATTTTGTAGTAAACCGCTTGATTCGTTTAGATGTTGTTTTATTTTTTGTAGGTCTTTCAACGCCTGAAATGTTTGTTTTTAAGTACGTTTTTCACTTTCTCTTTAGTTTTACTTTACGCATTTTGTATTTATATATTCATTTGTGTTTTCATTTTGCCCATAATTTCATTATTTATGCTTTAACCTAAAAATGTAAATGTATGTATTATTTTGTAGTCTCCAATATTCATCTAAAGACAAGAACTTTTTCTCAACATTGCAGCAATTTGAAATGCTTAAATGTTTGGCTGATTTCTGCTTGTTATGTGTGTGGTTATTTCTCAAAGATTTATCTATATTTAGCATGCCATTTAATTATGATAATCCAAATGGTGGTTCAAGGGAATACAAATGCTGCTTTAGCTTAGGTTTAATACTGGTTAAGGGCACTCTCTAACTGATGGAAGTGGGCTTTAAACCCCAAATGCAAATGGTGTCTGGATTAATTGTTGAATATTTGACTATTACTAAATGTATATTAAAGACTAACTGCCGCTGCACACAAACCACAAAACAAAAACCCAAAGAAACATTTTCCAGCATAGCTTTTCTGTAAGACAAAACACATTTTGCACACAAAAACAAACCAAAAAGAAACAAAACCAATTTATTTAGAGAAAAACATTTCAAAACATAATACTTTAGACCTTTTTGTGACCAAAGACTTTAAAATTATTCGAATGTACTTCCCATAATAAGACGATTATTTTTACCTGCAGTTCAAGCTGGAGGACATCACCAGCGGCGGCACATATCCGCCAAACAACAGCACGATTATACCCAGCGCTCCGGCGGTAATGGCCGCTGCCAATCTGTCGACCACAACTGGTATCCAGCGACGCATCAGCAGCGGTCCCAATGCCCGTGAGTACTTGAATATAATCTTATGCCCGAATGATGCTAATTGAAATGGTTCTTTCAGTCAACGCTTCCAATCAGTCACTGAACTCTGTGGGTCGCCCCATCTCTGCGCCCAGCGAGAGCAGCAATCACAGCAGCAGTGCCTATGCCGTGCCAACAGTGCGCAAATATGAAACGACATCCACAGGAACGGGTGTGGGCGGAGCAGCTACCACAACAGCCACCACAACCTTAAATTCAGTGTCTGCAACCAGTGCCAATCATGCAGCAGGAACAGCGGCAACAACCAATGCCACAACCAGCCATGACGATAAGGGTAAGGGGACAGCATACAAGATTAAAGATGATCCAAAACTGAATGGAATATCAAGGGGCAGCTATCTAATTATCAAGAATTAAATGATAAAGGGATGTTTACATTTACTTGGCATTTGGCTAAGACTTCTCCAGTTGATGGGATACCCTTGAATATTCTTAAGGAACTTTTTAACTTCATTACGTTAGAACTTTATTTCAAATTAATCAAATTCTCTTCCCCCCACAAACAGAAAACGACAAGGAGAACGACAATCGCACGCAGACCGTAATACAGAGACGTCGCAAGCCGAAACGCAGATCGACCGGCGTGGTGCACATTGATATGGATGTAAGTATCTTTCACATATCAAATCAGATCCCAGATCGTACTCGTTTGTGTCGCGTATTTCTGTGCGTAATTGCCAGGCCATTTGTCAGACCAAATGAGCCGGAGAGCAGCGTGCCAACTATTTTTAGTGCAAACTGCTAATTAGTCAAAAGATTAGGCGCATTCTAAATAAGCAAAATATTCTCTTCTGTTTTTTTTTGCTGCTGCAGGAACTGGATCCCGAGCGTCAGAACGAGTCGTCCAACAATGACAACGAGGAGAAGGAGAAGGACAAGGAGGTGAGTGTCTCTATCTCTTTGAGAGTTTCCAAAACTTTTCAACAACAACAACAACAAGAGCAGGAGCAATTAGTTGAAAAGCAATTGAATTTTCACACCTTGCCAAGTAATTAAAATGTGTGTCAGGTGCTTGTTTCCCCGTGCTGTGTGCACCTGACACTCTTTGTCCTCTGATGTGTTCCCGCAATCTTTTTTGGTTGGCCGACTGTGGGTCGCTCCGTCACACCTTGTCACATTTTTAGATCGTTCCCCCGTTGGCCGCATTTTGTCCTTCAAAGTAGCTCTCACCCACCATCATTGCTGTCTGTTCCAATTAGCAGACGACCCAAAAACGAAATTATGATTTGCCATTAGAAAACGGTGCACGTGGCATTGTGGATGTGGATGCTGCTGCTGCTGCTTTGGCTGTGGCTGAGTACAGTCGATGCACTCGTAAGTGCAAGGCTACTGCGAAATCCTTTCATGGCCGAGGCCAGAACTATTAGTGCGCGTCCAATTTGTGGCTGCAGCAAAACCTGTTAACAATTTATCAGCGGCAAGTGTCAGAGCCGCCGTTTGTCTCCTATTATTCAATTCGCAGACAATTTTTGAGTGCATTTTGTCATTTATAAAACAAATATTAGTGTTTCATTTTGCTTGTTCTCTAAATTATTGTTAATTTGTGGACAAGTATTTGGATTTTTCATAGAATTTTCTAAATGCGTAGACAAGTATAGAATATTTTTGCTATTTTGCTGTTCTTCAGCGTTACCAATCAAAAACTTTGCGACAAATTGTCAATGCTCCGTTTTACGTATCTAATGCAAACATCCACAAAGATCTGAATATTCCAACCATTAAAGAAGAAATAAAGAAAACTAGTAAGAAATACATCGACAGACTCCACAACCACGAAAATAATTTAGCCTTAAGTCTATTAGACAATAGCCTAACAGTAAGAAGACTGAAAAGATACCACATTCTCGATATCCCTGATAGATAAATTTAACAAACTAAAAAGATGTTATATATAATAGCAGGGCTCATTGGAAAACTGCTATTTCTGTTAATTGAATATTAATTATACAATTTACTTATTGTTTAAAAACAGATTGTAAATATAAAGAGAGAGAAAAAAAAAAAAAAAAAAAAAAAAAAAAAAATTTNAGGCCAGAACTATTAGTGCGCGTCCAATTTGTGGCTGCAGCAAAACCTGTTAACAATTTATCAGCGGCAAGTGTCAGAGCCGCCGTTTGTCTCCTATTATTCAATTCGCAGACAATTTTTGAGTGCATTTTGTCATTTATAAAACAAATATTAGTGTTTCATTTTGCTTGTTCTCTAAATTATTGTTAATTTGTGGACAAGTATTTGGATTTTTCATAGAATTTTCTAAATGCGTAGACAAGTATAGAATATTTTTGCTATTTTGCTGTTCTTCAGCGTTACCAATCAAAAACTTTGCGACAAATTGTCAATGCTCCGTTTTACGTATCTAATGCAAACATCCACAAAGATCTGAATATTCCAACCATTAAAGAAGAAATAAAGAAAACTAGTAAGAAATACATCGACAGACTCCACAACCACGAAAATAATTTAGCCTTAAGTCTATTAGACAATAGCCTAACAGTAAGAAGACTGAAAAGATACCACATTCTCGATATCCCTGATAGATAAATTTAACAAACTAAAAAGATGTTATATATAATAGCAGGGCTCATTGGAAAACTGCTATTTCTGTTAATTGAATATTAATTATACAATTTACTTATTGTTTAAAAACAGATTGTAAATATAAAGAGAGAGAAAAAAAAAAAAAAAAAAAAAAAAAAAAAAATTTGCTGTTCCACCCAGCGAAAGTGCTTGAGGTACTGATTGTTCCTTCTGTGGATTACATTTCCCTTTTCCCCAACATTCTGATGGTGTGTCCCCTCTGTTTTATTATGTATTCAAAAATCCATCCGTCTAGCCATCGGTGGCAGCCTCTTTGACGCTGATGCATGCTGCCTGTGTGTCACCTGCAAGCTGATTGACGATGTCAAGTGTATGCATTTTCTAATATTCGTCTGTTTGTCTGACAATAGTGCATATCCTGGGGGAGAAAAACACTTTCACAATCGTCGCTCGTCGACATTTTTGCATTCTATGACAAATTGGGCAATTATCGAAGCACGACCCAAATGAAAGCCCAAACAAAAGGAAAATCACAAAGAAGAATTGCAATAATGTAATGAGAAATGAAGCAGACATTCAACAAATCGCTGACACACGTACATTGAACTTTGTTTTTGGCCAAAAGCGCATCACAGACAGACGGAGAGCAAGAGGGGTGGAAGAGAGACAGATGCTCGAATATAACATGCGATGCATTTGTGTGCTAAATTTATAACAGTTTGCTTTTCTTACCGTGTAGTCGGAGAGCATATAAAGGGCATGCCTAGTCGGGGGAGAACAAAATTAAGGGAAAAAGGGAGAGCTTGAAAGAACGAAAAGAGATTTTAGACAGAATTGTATGTTGCAGCAGTGGCATCTGCTCAATCAAAAGTTAATTAATGTCTGTTAACCTTCTTTTGTTTGTGTTATATCTTTACCCATCAATGGGTATCTCTTAGTAGCAACAATTGATTTGCTTGCATTTTCCGCCGTTGGCAGGCATTTGCTTCCTCATTCCCTCTTTCGGGGGGAACCAGGGAGCCGAGGCGATCGTCATTGCTATTTATAGACCCAAATGCATTCAACGAAAGTGTATACCGCTGGACTGCAGCAGAGAGGGGGCATGTGGCATGGGCATGGGCATGCTTCTGGCCCAGTTATGATGGAGCAAGAGCTCTCCCCCGAAAAACTCCCCATTGGGAGACGCACTGCACTTTACCTCTAAATATAGCGATAGACCGAAATAGGCGTTCCTTCTATCTCTCTTTTGGTGCATCTGTCATGTGTCAATGACTGTGCTTCGCCTTTTGGCCCAGTTGTTGCGAGTGTGCCTCAGCTCCCCGCCGTAGGCTGACGGCGGAGGCTCTGACCCCAGCATAGTTAACACTTTTACGTCTCGGACATTGGGCCAAATACGTGTGCGATTTACTAAATTTAGACCAGGTGAAAACTCGCACATTTTCGCCCCACACACACACACACACACACACAAACACACAAACACAAGGGGAAAAATGCTGTGTGCGCAATTTCAAGTGAAAATCTCCTGCTCCGCGGTCTCTTTTCCCCTTAAAAACTCTTTGTGGGGCTTTTAATATTTGTTGTTTTCATATTTAAAATTATTATAGCATTCTGATTATCCCCGTGTTGTTCTTTCCGGCTTTTCATCTCTCTCTTAGAGACATCTCTCTTTGCCGCATTGACTGCCTCTCTTTGGCATCGAGTTGATTCTCTTTGGGGTTTATTTCTGATCGTGCGGCAAGTTCTCAGCCGAATAAAACATTTCAAATCTCGTGTGAGCAGCACAGTTGAATTTTGTGCGGCTAGCACAGCGGATCATCAATCAGTTCAGCATCAGAATCAGCATCTAATATCGTCTCTCAACAAACCAGTCTAAACTTTAATGTAAATCCCAATTAAACACAAGAATCCAATACGTCAAGTGCATCGAGACAAAAAATAAGAAAGAAAACCACAAAAGCTGTCATCAAACGTGTCAAAGAAAAATCAATTGAAATACGCTTAGATCGTCTTACCCCTGGGATCAGATTCAGATTCGTACAGATCAGTGGGGGATTGGCAGATGGCAGAGCCAGAGACAGAGCCAGAGTTGATTTGACTGCCGCCAGCCCCAAGCTGGCTTTCAGCCGAATTGCCTTTTTTGGCGGCTACTGCGCATAATTTTTGGACATTTCAAGTTGCTTCTGCTGCCAATATGGGCAGCTATTTTGATAAGTTTTTTAATTTGATTTGGTAAATTTCTGTAAATGTTAAAGTTTAACAAGCAAAAAGTCACAAAGATTTAAGTGGAAAGTGCCAAAAAAGCAACTCCAAAGCAGGATCAGAATTAGAGTGCTTTAGGAAGATATTTAAAGATAGATTTAAGCGATTTACAGAAGGCTGTAGGAGAGGAAAGGAAGCATAACAAATCTTAGAATAAAATAGGATACATCTAAATAAATTCAAGAAAAATAATCCATTAGCAGCATATATGAAAAGAATTACTACAAACTCCAACAATAATAGATCTAAATTTCTGTATTTATGTGTATTTCCACATCGTAATCCCCTAAATGTGCTCCCACGACCCTCGATCATTTTTCTTAGTCATGACACCGCAGACATTTTATGAGTTTGCTCCAAAAGATTCCGCTTTTTAATGCGATATTAGCCATGTTAAATGTTTGAATTAACACGAAACAGCAGCAGACATTCAAGAGAGGGAAATTATTGCAAAAGGCCAAACATTGAAGCACTCGGGGGAAGATTGCTTGGGGAAAAGCCGCTTCATTCATGGCCTGCCGTCCTATAGATAGACCATAGATGCCACCGGTGTGTATATACATATAGAGAGAGGTATATGGCATGGATGTACTCGGAAACAGACACAGATCATCGTAAATTATATGCATTGAAAGAATTGCTTGAAAAGAAAAACGTTTTCTGGTCATTTCGTTTTCATGTTTGTTGTTTTGTATCGCGTGGGTGTGGGGAGCATCAACTTAGAGAAACAAATAAATATCAGGCCAGGCAGCACACCGCCGACTATCCCCCATAGATTATGGCCTGTATGTGTTTTCGATACAGCCAAGAGAAACCCCAGAAAGAGAGATCTGCACAAAGAAAATTGTCAAAATTTATGGCTTGACGTCACGTAATGGTTTGTTAGTGCAGCACCATTACGATCAGCATCAGCATTTGCCAGCCGCAGGAGAAACGATCTGTGGACGCACGGAGAAAACCACATGTCAATATTGCGTTCTCCGTATCGAGTATACATATATCTTGATCTGTACATGTGTAAATACACACAAAAGTTGTTTGTTTTTCCTTCTCCTTTTGTTTATACCAAATTCATGAACATTTTGTGCTCGCTTTGATTATAATCGTAATTGCCTTTTGTGCGCGAGTTCTAAAAATGGAACAAAGATCAATTGGAATCGAATTTTGAATGCTCTTCTTCAAGGAACTTGTTCTGGCAGATTTAAATAGTTTCTTTATTGAGCTTTGGGCATGAAGCATTCCCTTAGAAGTATCCTATTTCATCACCTTCTGCATACGATCTCTTCTCTGCTTACCACTCCCTCTTTGTTAGGGTATTCCAGTCATGTGGCTCCGGGCAGACTGTTTAAGCGTAATTGCAATTGAATGCCGACGATTGATATACGAACCGGGGCGGGAGATGTACTAATGGGGCCTGTGCTTTCTTCTAGTGTCCATCAGCGACATGTCCTTTCGGTCGAGATCGCGCACACAGGCGCCTCTCTCCAGTCACCGCCGTTCGCTCTCTTCCTCGAGAGTGGGTTCCTCCGGGGCGAGTGGTGTGGGCTCCGGGTCGAGCGCGTACAACTATAATGGCAGCAGCTACGGCAGCGGCGGCAGCAGCAGCCGGCCGTTGAGCACGGGCTACTTCCCCAGCAGCAGCGGCAGTGGCAGCTACCAGAGCCCCTACGCCAGTGTGTACAGCTCCCGCGAGAGCTTGTACGGAGGCGGAGCAGGACGCAGCTCCTCCGGTGGCTATTCGAATTATGGAAACGGTAATCGATACGAGTACAGTGGTGGAGGCTCCGCTTCTGCAGCCAAGTATCTTCATCATCCTCCCCATCAGCACCACAATCAATACCAGCATCAGGCTAATCATCACCAGCTTCCGCATACGACAATCGCCGGCAGTGGGTCATCAGCTGCAGCTGCTTCCCCATCCGCCTCCTCCTCCTCCACAAGCCACCACGCAACCACTTCCATAGCCTCCACGCCCACTGCCAAGCCGCACAGCAGCCGCTACTCCTATCTGGCGTCGCCATCAGCTTCTGCAGCTTCTTCGGGCAGCCACTACCACCACATTGTCGTGAGCAAGCACAGCAACAGCTACGGTCAATCTAAATCCTCTGCTCTCTCCTCCTCTCTCTCCACCGCCTCCTCCTCGACGTCGTCCTCGAACGGTACAGCCAGCGGTGGGGGGTATGACAGTTCCCGGTATGGGTCCAGCGCGTACTCCTCTGGCGCGGGCTCCTCCGCGTACTCCAGCGATCGCTATGTCAGTCCCTATTCGAGCAGTTATGACAATGGCGTGACCACGGCCTCACTCAGCTTCAAGTCCCCCGGGCTGAGTGCCTCCAACTCATTTAAGGGCTCTCGCCTGATGAAGACCAAGTCCCTGTCCACTTCCAACAGCAGCCTCACCGCCTCCCCGTACAGCAGCAGCACACCGACGACCAGCAGCAGCGTGAGCCCCGCTGCCACAGTGGCAGCCATTGCGGCCACTCGCAGTAATTCGCTGCGGGAACAGGAGCGCAAGTCGCGCAACCGCACACGCTCTCGGAGCGCCGCTCAGCGATCCATTAGTGCCTCCTCCGAGAAGAGCGAGGGCTATGAAGTAAGCAAGTGTTTCTCAGGGTTCAAGTTCGAATGTTGTTGTTGTTGTTGATAGTTTAAATAGATAGTTGCCCCTTTGTTAATCCTATCTTATCCCGTTTAACTTTCTCTCTCACCTGCAGAGCGGCAGCGAGCGCACCTCTCGCTCCCGACTGGGCAGCACAACGAGTACGGCCGCAACGAGCACGACCAGCAGCGAGTCGAAGAGCAGCGGCGACAAGGCGGAGAACGGTGATGGCATTGACTACAAGGCGCTCTGGGAAGCAGCCAAGTGAGTATAAAATTGTCTTTCTTTGGCAGCCAACGTTGCTCACTGCCGCGTTCCATTTTCTCACACAGATTGGAGAACGATAAGCTGAAGCAAGTGCTCAAGCAGAAGGATGACGAGGTTGTGCAGACGCGCGCGACGCTCGAGAGATTCGCCAATGCCGTAAGTAGACACTGCCTTAACCTGCCACGCCCACACCATCCCACTACTACTACTACCCAACTCCTCTGACTCGAAACGAAAGTCAAAAGCAAAAGCAAAGCAAAAGCATAATCTCAGCAGTAACCAACAAAAACAACAAACACACACAAAACAACCGAAAGTTCGCTCTCTCTCACTCTCTGTACCTCAGCCCTGACTCTGCTCCTCTTCTGTACCCGGGAGAGAGGGTGCAGTGCTCTCTCTCACTCAATAACCCACTCATCACTCTTACAAAAACAAACATGCAAAAGGTGTACTTACACTATATATGTAGAGGGTGCAGCATTCCCGTTGGATAACTGCACCTTGTACCAAGTACACCTTGCGACACTCTCTCTCTCTATCATTTTGCCTCGCTCTTGCCTCTGCCTCGCCACATGTCAAAGCTTTTTGCTCGCGTTCTGTCTCTCTCCTTCTCTGCGATCTCTGTCCAACCACTCCACCAAGAACAACACCACCACTGAACAAGAACTACAACAGTTGTACACTGTACTCCAAAATCAACACCAAAAACCAAAAACTAGCCTATGCAACAAAGAAAAGAAAGCAAACAAAAAACAAAACAAAATCTTGTTTCATTTCACATTCGCAGACCACTAAAAACTCACTCTCTGAGATTGAGAAACGTGAACGAAGAGCTATGGAACGCAAGCTCTCCGAGTTGGAGGAAGAGCTCAAGGTAATTACAAACGAGTCCTTTGCTATCCGTAAAAGCCCTTGAGGCTACCAATGCCGCTGCCACTATTGTTGCTGTTTTGAAATTGAAAATTTAAATTGTGTTCTGAGAACAGGAGTCGAAATTGATTGCCTTTCCCGCCACTGTTCATTGTTTTCCTTTTCTTCTGTTTCTGATTTGAATGTTTATCTTTGATTTTCTTTTCTGTTTTTTTATATTGGCCACAATTTTTGATTTTTGCTTTTTCTTACCGATATAACACAGGGCTGCATGCAACCCGCAATCCAAACTTATTTAGTTTGGATACCCTTGCAGATCTTTCTTGCACCTCACAGATCCCTCATTTTACGGTACGTGAGATCTGTCGTTCTATCGATCTGCAAGGGTATCTAGAACTTCGGTTTCCGAAGCTAATTTTTTATTTTTTTCTCTTTGTGATTGATTCTTTTTCTTATTAATCCCCATTATTATTTTAAGAAAATTTATTAATGCGAATTGTGCTTTCAGTCCTTATGATCAGAATTCGGCTAATTTTGAGCTGATTCCTCCCATTCCTGCTACACCCTTCGCACCCCTAAAATACCTTTCGTTTCTTGCTTTCACCTTTTTGGTCAGTTCTGCTATTTATACCACAGAACACCAAAGTTACCTAGCCTAGTCCTCTCTGTGGCACTGTTTCTATCTGAATTTGATTTACAATTTCTTATATATGCTGTAAATTGAAGCGATTGTTTTGATTTCTGTTGCCATTTGTTTTGACCCCACTCCTCCACCGAAAATTGTCATCATTATCGTTCCGTTTATTTGTTTGATTTCCAAGTATATGAAATGCAATTACATCAAATAACAGACTGACTCGAGTTCTCATCTACATCGATCATAAGACATCTCTGTTTCACTCTCTCATCATCATCAAAGCCATTGCCAGACACTCTCTCTCTCTCTCTCATTCTCTCGATCATCATTGTCAACCTTTTATGATTTTTGGTCACTGTTTCCCCCCCACATGCGTTACACGTTATCCGTTACACGTTACCCGTTGACCGTTATACGTCTATCTCTCGCACTCTCTTAACCGTTATGAAGCAATGCGCTTTCACTCATTCCAACAAAAAAACAAAAACAAAAGCTCACTCAAATTTGTTTTTCTTTTCTCTCTCTCTTCCCACGCGCCTCATCGATCGATCGATTGTCTTTATATTTTCTTGCGTCGCCGCTGTTCTTGTATGATTTCGTTTTGATTTTCTTGATTGGTGATTTTTAGCTGTTGCAGAAGCTAAAGACTGAGAACGACCGCCTGCGCGCCGAGAACCGTGCCCTCACGCGGGTCGTCTCAAAGCTGACCACATCGGCCCAGAGCCAGCTGGCCAAGGCCAAATAGAGCCATATCGAAACGCATTTCAATCGCCTAAGCACACCCCCCACCCAAAATCACACACAACCACAAAAAACACAACAAAATAAATCTCACAAATGCGCGAATACGTTATCGTTTCTATATATTGAATACTAGATATATTTAACACATTTCGATGTCGTGTTGAATACTCGAATGATAAATAAGTATACTCCGAATATGTATCAGCACTTGTAACAATAATTAAGTGGAATTAGGTTACCTTTGAGCTCATTATGGGGCCTAAGGACCACCACTCACTACAGATAGAATTGCAATCTACCCATCAATAATCTAAACCTTCGATGAACTCTATGGGTAGCAAAAATCTATTAAATATATTATAGTACAATCTTGTTCCCACGGCTTGTTTTTGCTCTAGATCAAAATAATGTTTGCGAATTTATTATGTGTAATCAATATATCAATATATCGTATGTACTTATGGGAAGCACAAGCCACTTGAACTGTAACCGCACTGATTAAGTAACGTAAATCAAAACCATACTCACACTCGAATCAAAGTAAAGCTCATTCAAAAACCAACGAAGCACAAAAACGCCCCAATGTGCCCCACAAGCATCAGAATCAAACACACAGCATCAGCATCAGCACCAGGCTCCCTTGGGCCAAGGAGCTGCCAAGGAACATCGGGGGCAGAACGGGAAGGTACAGCAGTGGTCTAGTGGATGCTGGAAGCTTTACGGTAAATCAGACCCACCACCAGACCCTGACATGTGACATTTCTCTGAACCACCTGCGCCCAAAATACTCTTATCAGCTGGCTGTTGTTGTTTTGTTGTTATACACATACCACAAAATATAAAATATATACCTAATAAAAAAATATATATTTTTGATCTAAACTTGTATTATCGAGTGTTTCAAAAACGTGTATCTTATTGTGTATTCGTGCCTGAGTTTCATTTGGATTGTAATCTAGGGAAGAATATAAAATACAGAAATATTTGGCTAAATTAATAGTTTAAATAATGAAATGCTTTCAGATATTGCACAGGCTTGGTTTGAGCAATCTTTATCTGTCAATTGTCGAGTTGCCTTGTTTCCCATGGATCTTTTTATTCCCATCTTTGCTGGACATTGGCTTGAGTCTGAGTGTTATTTAGATTTTGGGTGTTCTACCTTTTTGCACTTAGTTCCAGCCAAAGATCAGGTTGCTCACATTGAGTTGCTGAAGAGAATAGCTTAGGAAAACATATAAAACCCATCAATTATTTAAATTAAAGAGAAAAATGTCTCAGAAAATGGTTAAATCATTGGCAATCCAACTAAGGCCTACGAATATGAAACATAGATATATATTTGATAAATCTCGATTAGAACTCTGTTTAATATTGTTAAATTCTCTATTGAAAATATTTTGAAGCACTCTGAATGTATATACGAAATAAATCTTTACTTAATAATCTTACTCTATTAAACATACATACATTTATGTACACACACATTTACACACACACACCATATTTAGTGTCTATTCTAACTATTCTATGGAGTTTATCCTCTTGTTGTTAATACTGTTACAAGTTTTATATGCAAATTTGTTTATCCTTTTGTGTGTGTTTCCTCGAAACCAAAAAGCCCACCAATACCCACCCATCGACCGATCCTGAGTTATGAAATAAACGAAACCTCTTCGCCCACTGTCGTTCTTATTCAACATAATGCTGTTTTTTGTTTTCCATTACGTTCCCAATGGGACGGCATTATCCGCCACATCTTCAGAATATCAGGCACCCGCATACGGCATCTGTATTCATGTGATTCATTCGATCGTCCGAAGAGTACACGAATCATTGAACAGATTTTTATAGCTACTGCTCGTACTATCGGAATTTCTATATAGTTTGTGGTTGCATGAATGTTATCTCTGGTTCTCTCCTGTTCAGGGCGTCCAGATATTTCGATGTTTTTACGAGTAGGTACTTACTAATCGTTTGTTTGTTGTTTCTGTTTATGTTTCTGTTGTTGATGTTGCTGCTGCGGCAGCATTCCTCAAACTAACGAAGCATGCCCCACGCACAATCACTCCCCGAACTTGTGCCTCCCCCTCTCTTTGTGCTCTATGCTGTATTCATATCTTGTGTGCAAACATATGTATCAACCTCTGTATCGATTGTACTAATTTGATTCCACTTTGATTCACAGCAACTCGATGTCTACAAGTCGGATAATCATCGCCTGAAGGAGGAGAACGCGGCGCTGATTAGAGTAATTAGCAAATTAAGTAAATGAAATGATGTCTCCACAGCTGTATGGATCGAGAATCATCATCACCATCTGTATCATTGAGAAACAACCATTTTTACGTTATTCACCAGCTGGAAACGGGCTGAAAAATGAGAAATAATAGAGAAGAAAAGGTGCGCGAAATTCGCTGAAAGGGGGAAATTTCAAAGTTTTGTTTATTGATTGTGTTAGAGAATTAAGCATAAGGTGAAACCATGTTTCCACAATATCGTTGAGAATTGTTTCGTTCGTTTTATTATAAAGAAACACACAAAAAAATCATATTTGTATTTGGTCAAATTTTATATACAAGGTAGTGAAAATTATTAATTAATAAAAATTGCACAGATCAAGCCTAACTAAATGCAATGTAAATCAATTGTGTGAGGATCGAGAGGAAAGCAAATAAGCAAAAATATGCAAAAAAAAAAGATAAGAAAAGAAAAGAAAACCTTTACATACAAAACTGAGAACATATTCATCAAATGAGCCCTAGTTACAGAATTAGTTTAACTACGTAATACATATACATACATACATTTATACATACATATATAAATATATACATATAAACATATTTTTCATATATAAATTATATATACACACATTGCATATGATAGATATTTAGAGCAACTGAATCATAAGTTCGACATTTGAATGTGTAATATCATCGAGTAACCAAACAACCAACCACAAGAGAACCGAAGAAGAGTTGTTTTACGAAAACCAGCCCACGCGTCAACGTACTAAGTGTAATCATTATCATCCGTATCATTCGTAATTGTGTTTAGTGTACCCCGTACCATACCCCCATTTATATACCCACCACCCGTACAGATTACAAGCTCCATGGCGCTCTTCGACAGATGCAGAGACATACGAGAGAGAAGGCATATCCGGGTATGCTGCACGATTACTTCTACTATTCGATTACGTTAATTATTAATTAGCAGACCACCCTAGTTTCTCCCTCACTTTGTATCGTATTATATCGTCGTACTACATATATTTTACCTTGATCATACAACTATATGCATATTTCTGTTATTTATTAAATTCGCCTAAGAGATTTTTGTGTTACTCGTAAATGGAAAAACCATAAGCAAATGCATAAACAAACATACAACAAACAAACAACAACAGCATAAAAATATGAATTAAATAAATATAAATCGTGAATTGTGTAATATGTAAAATTGTGTGAGAAAATATTTAAGAAAATTTGATTCAAATACGAAACTTAATAAATGTGATCGCAAGCAAGCTGACAATATACTATTGAATGGGTTGGGGTGGAGGTGTGTTGGGGTGTTGATTTTGCATACCCTAAAACGTTCTGTTCCTGAGCAGAAAGCAAACTGTCGAATTCGTGAGAAATTCCCCCATATCAGTCATTCAAGGTTTACAATTTCTTTGATAACATACCATGCACGGTAATAATTTAATTATTTGCTGATAAAACGATGTCTTAAGTGATCCTCTGTCAAATCTGTTTGCAGCACGTTCAATGGAATATATAACACCAACCCACAGCGGTCTAGAGGTTACTATATGAACGTGTACTTGTATATACATTTTCTGCCCATGAGTCAAGTTAAAATATCCGTACAGCAGAACCATAGCCTTGGTTAATTATATCGTGAAAAGTAAATCCAAATAGAAATGCTCGTTGTTGGTTTTTTGGGTGATATTTTGAACCACGCCACGTCAAAAAAAAGCTTCAATATTACTTTATGATATTAGATTTACGGCTGGGACACAAGCCAAGCCAAGCCGCATCTGGTAAACAGCATTATCACAGGCAGGACCCATAAACGGTTGAAGGTTGATGCTGATCGTGAATTCCGCGAAGCTTTGGTCTTCCTCTGCTATATAAGGCACATCGCTCGGAGGTACCACATCAGTTTAAATCTAACGTTGAGCAACCCAACTCCATCACATCCAATAGTCAAAAGAAAAATGCAAAAGTTCTTCGCACTCTTGGCCCTTGCTGCCATTCTTCTTTCTTCCGTGTCGGCACAGAAGTGTAACGAGTGTCAGAGCAGCAACGATGCCAAATGTGTGAGCCAGACTAAATTCCAAAATTGCATGAGTAAGTCCTATGGAGTATTACGGATTCCCAGGAAATACTTAACTCCGTTTTCCCACAGACAATGTTGCATTTGGGGCAGAGGCAACATGTCCCACTGGTACCGTTTGCAGCAACACCGACGATGTCTGCGTGAAGAGTGAGTCTGTGGATGGGACGAAAATTCTGGACGTATGTGGCTCAGGAAGTGAATCGAGCTCCGGAAACGGTGAAAACTGTGCTGTCTGCGTGGGCAGTAACAAGTTCGCCTGTGTCAGCAAGACCGAGTTTGCCCGATGTGTTGACCAAAAGGTTTCCACAACACCGTTCTCATGTGGCACGGATGAGACATGTGTGACAGAGGCCCTCGCCTTGTTTGGCAACATCTGTGTGCCTAGCTGTGCCTTCGCTTTTATCGGAGTAGGTATATCCCGTGCTGAGGTTTTTTAGCTATACTAAATCTTTGCCTCATTCACAGTTGACTGCGGATAATATCACTTGCACCAACACAGTTTATACGCCACCGACCGCACCAGCTGTTCCCACGCAAGAAGAGTTGAAGTTAGCCTGTTCAAATGCTGGAGACACAAATGCGAGTCTATTCTTCGACATAGACAATACCGCCGACACCACATGCAGCAGTTATATTTACTGCGAGAAAGTTTCTGATTCGAATTGGCTTGCCATCTTATACAGTTGCAAGTCTCCCACTCCATACTACAGCAAGGCTGATAATAAGTGCATCGCAACCAAACCTACCAGGTGTACTGCGAGTGCACCTGCATAGAAACTGCATAGGTTCAGTAGCTCCTCTCACACACTTAAAGATTGTTACTTGTACAAGCTCTTAGCAAAACGCCACTATTATATACACAGATGTTTCCTACAGAAACGAAATAAATACCCTGAAAAAGTAATGCACAAATTTTGTAATACGCTTGTAATGATCCATAATTGACATTTGGCTTAGTCTATTGGATAGATTATTCTTACAGCTAAAATTAAGTGTGTGTTGACTTAACTCCATGATTTTGTTGTACAATATATAAGCAATTGAAGTAATTAGAAGCCTCGAGATGTTGGGCAATATCTGCCTGGAAATACTAAAGAAACTTACGGCCAAGCAGCAAACGGGGAGAAACTGTTAAAAACTATAAAAATGAGTGTGTTTATAACAGCACGCGTCATAATTAGTACATAGAAATCGTTAAAGTAAAAGTAAAAGCATTTTCAAACTAATTATGTGTTCGTGTTGAGGACGAATCAAAGCTACTAGACCTTGATATTCTGTATAGTTTAGATGTCGTCGAAATTAATGGGTTAAGTTCTGTACATTGATGGCCGTAAACACTTGGACATAAACATTTGCACACACATGTATGTACATATGTGGTACGTCAGCGGGTTCTAAATATACAATACGGATACAAACATACGAATATGATATTCCCACTCGCCTGCCTGCCTGATTTATCTGGCGCACTGTTGCGTTCAACGAGGGGATATTTCAAAATATTTCAAATTATTCTTAATATTTTATAGTGACAAAGGCAAAGCTGCTGCTGCACCACTTTTGCATTGGCAGCGATTGTCGCGGCAATTAAACATTAAATCAAATGAATTGCAGAATCCCGCAGAGCTGACACTGAACGGCGGGTAGGATGATATGGGGCCGGCAGAGACACTGAGGCGGCTGGCCAGACCCAATTTAAATGCGCAAATGGAAATTATGGCCATTGACGACGCATGATCGGCCCGGGACGCTGTATGTGGGCAGTGGCGAGTGTACAAACTGCAAAATATAAACACAGAGACACGCACACACATGTACGGAATTAGAAAATGATGGATAGTGGCTGCCTGCACTGGCTGGCTGGCACAGCATCGCATTGGCATACAAACCTTTGGCACTTTCTGCGTTGTCGCCATGTAGCCAACGCAAAACGATTGCGTCGTATGGCTCCACATCACCTCGCCGCTGCTCTGCTTCGGATAGTAGAGCAATGTCAAGGCGCCGGCATAGAGATCCTGCTGCTGTGGCAGCAGCGGAGAGTCGAGAAACTTTTGGGTGAACGTTTTGTGCAGACTCGTCACAGCGCAGTCGCTGGTGAAGGCCCCGTTGCATATCTCTCGGGCCAGCAGCGTCTTCATCAGGTACTCCCCGTTGCCGGTCGTGCAGGTCGCTATCGCCAGATCGTCTGTGTCGGTGGCCCAGCAGCCAGCGCCATAGGTTGCCGCCTGGCCCACCCGCCCTGGCACTTTCAGCAGTATTCCGCCGGAGCTGCAGCCCGCTGCAGTGTTGCCGGCGCCATCGACGCACACAGCCCCCACGGTGTCCAGCGATGCTGCGAGTTCCACTTCGTTGCTCGCCTCGGGCACAGGGACGGGCTCCTCGGAGGCGGCCTTGTTGTTTCTGCTGCCCACAACCAGATCGTATTTACTCTTGTAATGATTGAACTGGAATTTCGCCTTCGATGAGATCATTAAGCTACTATCTAAATGGAACAAATGGAAACCCAATCGTAAGCAGATCTATCTAGAGTGAAGATTGTATTGGATACAAACCAGCCACCATTGAACATCCCACTTCGTCGGCATAGCGCTCCGCTCCGGTGCCAGCTAATACCATGGGCGGTATGCGTTCCAGGAGCTGGGGATTCGACTGTGCCTCACAAATCTGTCGAGCCAGCTGAATGGGATTCTTCACTTTGCTGACATTGGTGCAAGCTCCGAAGTTCAGGGTAGATCCGTTCATTATGGCAGCATCACACTGCACAGAGCCGTCCATACAGAGATTGGAGCCGTAGCCGGCGTTCGTGTAGCCGCAGTTCTCCAAGCGAATTATAGCAGCCTCGCAGGCATCCACGGCGGATCCCCCATTCCTCAGAATGTCCGTGGCCCGGATACAAGCCTCTTTAATCACCCGTTGGTATTTCGTCTCATCGATGCAGTTTCCAGCCCCTGAAACAATATGCGCCCATCAATCTTCTCTTCTGGTTGCCTGCCAGCAGCCGCAGCGCCAAAATTAGAAAAATACGAACCTGTGTGCACAGCTACAAAACCGGCCATGTTATTATTGTGTTTTGGTTTTTGATGCGCCACCCATGATGCGCCAAGATGTAAACTCAGTGGGACCGCGAACCAATCCAAAAATATACCGTCTAATTCACAAAAACATACCAAAATATACCTTTTGGTTTTCAAAAATCCACGAGGGAAATCATATTTCTCGCGTTTCTTATTTTGTTTAATATTACTCAATTGTTCTCAGGATTTTCTTGTTTTCAGTGAAAGGTGGTATAGAAAAGTAACGTAATTGGGAACTGGAATGGGATTTGAGATTTCATTATCGATGTTTTTGTGCGATCAATTATAAGAAGGTTCATATCAGTATATTTTTAAAGGTCAGAAGGTGTATTTTCTTGAGAATTCCGCGGTCACACTGTCAATTTTTTGCAAATAAAATATTCGCACACAAAAAAAATATGCACTCGAACCACTGTAATGTATACCATATAGAGGGATAAATACAAGTTTTGAGCAACTAAATGCCCAGGCAATCGAATGTACAGCCGAGCACATTGGAAATGTGAAAAGAAAGTGAATTGTTAGTCAAATAACTGCTTGTGTGATTGTATTGTGTGACGTGCGCTTGCTGCGCTGCCACTGCGCTGTTACTGCGCTGCGCTGCACCACTGCAACGCAAAATACTCAACGAAAATAGGAAAACCCGATACTATTATTCACACAACGGGCTAAAGTAATGGAAAAGTTTCCGCTGAAGGGCAGCAGGGAGGCTGCGGCAGAGGGTAACAGCTACATAACCGCCTACCAGACGGTAATGAAAAAGGTAAGCCCACGCATCGAGAATGGAGTGGAATGATAAGCCTGGTAGATTTCCCAATCAGCTACGTGAACACGTACATACGAACACACTTACATATTCATACGGTAGTTGCGACGCACACACACATTTAGCATAAAGGGGCGGAAATGCTGCTGTTTTCGTGGCCGCAGCTGTGATTTGTGCCACTGTGTGTGTTTGTGTGTATGGCAGCAACAGTGTAACGACGAACCTAATCTTATCAATATCCGAGCGTAAACAAAGAACCCGCGTATTCGGTGTATGAATTCCGAAATTGCCGCTTTACATTTGTGTATTCATTCTTTCAGTCAAACGGTCACACGAGCGGAGCCGGTGCGGAGGGCGAGGGCGATGCCAATTATCACGATCATCCGCTAGCGACTCACTCAAAACTAACCACCTCACTCACAGCGGCGGCCACAGACGACGAAGACATGATCGACATAACGCCGCGCTCCAGTCCTGGCGACGTCATCGGCGGCGGAGGCGGTAGCAGCAGCGGTGGCTACCATCGCGAGACTGCCACAGAGTCGGACACTGAGCGAGATTTCGCGCACGCAGGCAATCATCACAATCAGCGGACAATGCACCATCATCATCACCAGCATGTGCCAACTCACAGTGCCTTCGGAGACCCAATGGACGGTGAGTAGCCAGCAGCCAGACGACATTTCCAAGCAAAGCAGAGCATTAACTTGTCATTGCGTAAAACACCGTGTGACACCACTCCGCAGAGTAGAGTGCAGAGTGTTAATCAAGATCATGATCATATGAGTAGAGTACAGCAGACGGCCCGGCCCGGCGACGTCACCTCAATTCTGATGCCGTGGCACAGCTGTACCCGCTTGGCTGCCTCAGTGCTCGGGTGTGTGTGGAATTCAATTAATACATGAGATGATTAGCATACAGGCATGTGCAACGTTGCGGGGCCAATGTCGCGGTCGTCGATATAAATGTTTCTCCAGCTGTCTGCTCCGTATTGGCAGTTATTTATTTCGATTAAAATTCGTATGCTAATTCGTATATATCAGTTTACCTACAAATATGTACAAAAGCCTATACGAATTATGATGTTATCGCTGTGCTAACAAGATCATTATTTATATTATTGTTATGATAACAAACTGCAATTGGGCTGAAAGCTAGAAAATCTATATAGTAATCAATCAAAGTATATATCAATCAGTTTCAAACATGTGCAAAAGAATCTGCAATGAATTCACTGGCCAAATGGCTAGACACCCCTTTAGAGTGTAAATTCAAAATTTATTTATTATGTCCACTGTTTTAGGCGCACTATCGTTCTATGGCTCATCGGATGTGCAAGATGATATACCTGGCATTGGGCAGTATGAGGATTTCCACACCATCGACTGGCAGCGGGACATTGCGCGAGATCGTATGCGGCATCGCTACATAGTCAAGAAGCGGCAGGACTCTGTGTGGGATCTCATCAAGGTAAGTGCTTATCTGTCACCCTATTTAATGTTCAATTAACCAAGTTCCATATCTCTACAGGGCTCCATTGATGCCGGCTCTGGATGGCTGTGCGTTCTGCTCGTTGGCATTGCGGCCGGCTGCGTGGCGGGCATGGTGGATATAGGCGCCAGCTGGATGTCGGATCTTAAGCATGGCATTTGTCCGCCTGCGTTTTGGTTCAATCGCGAACAATGCTGCTATCCGGCCAAACAATCGGTGTTCGAGGAGGGCAACTGTTCCACGGTGAGTGCTGACACTTATGTTTTCCCAATTGAATTCCACAAAACTCTCTTCTCTTTCAGTGGAAAACCTGGCCGGAGATCTTTGGGCTGAGCCGCAATGGCACGGGGCCCTATATTATCTCGTACATCTGGTACGTGCTGTGGGCGTTGCTGTTTGCCTCGCTCAGCGCTTCGCTGGTGCGAATGTTTGCCCCATACGCTTGCGGTTCGGGTATTCCGGAGATTAAGACGATTCTCTCTGGATTCATCATACGCGGCTATCTGGGCAAATGGACGCTGCTGATCAAATCGGTGGGCCTGATGCTGTCGGTGTCCGCTGGCCTGACCCTGGGCAAGGAGGGACCCATGGTCCACATCGCCAGCTGCATCGGTAACATATTCTCGCATGTGTTCCCCAAGTACGGCCGAAACGAGGCCAAAAAGCGCGAAATACTCTCAGCAGCAGCTGCGGCAGGGGTGTCTGTGGCTTTCGGGGCACCGATTGGAGGAGTTCTGTTCTCGCTGGAGGAGGTGTCCTACTACTTCCCCTTGAAGACGTTGTGGCGCTCGTTCTTTTGTGCACTGATTGCCGCCTTCGTTCTGCGTTCGCTGACTCCTTTCGGTAACGAGCATTCAGTTCTCTTCTTCGTGGAGTACAACAAGCCGTGGATCTTCTTCGAACTCATTCCCTTTGTGTTTCTGGGAATTATGGGAGTATGTAATACCCGCTACCATACATATTCGTCATTGCTAATCTGCTTTCACTTTTAGGGAGTGATTGGAACGTTCTTTATCAAGGCCAATTTGTGGTGGTGCCGCTACAGGAAGTTCAGCAAGCTGGGCCAATATCCCGTCATGGAAGTTCTCTTTGTCACCCTGGTCACTGGAATCATCTGCTACCCGAATCCCTTTACCCGCATGAACATGAATGAGCTGATCTTTCTGTTGGTTAGCAAATGCTCACCCGGCGATGTCACTAATCCCTTGTGGTGGGTACATCAAATGAACATTTTCACATGCAAATCATAACTCTAACTTGTATTTGCCTTACAGCGACTACAAGCGAATGAACATAACAATGGGCAACAGTGTCATTGAGGTCACAGAGCCAGGTCCCGGCATCTATAGCTCCATTTGGCTGCTGATGCTCACCTTTATCCTGAAACTTGCCCTCACCATCTTTACGTTTGGCATGAAAGTGCCTGCGGGTCTCTTTATACCGTCCTTGCTGCTGGGCGCCATTATGGGCCGCATTGTGGGCATCGGCGTGGAGCAGTTTGCGTACAGCTATCCCAACATTTGGTTCTTCACGGGCGAGTGTGCGGACAGCAATCTCATTACACCCGGCCTGTATGCGGTAGTGGGCGCGGCAGCCGTCTTGGGCGGCGTCACACGCATGACTGTCTCCCTGGTGGTCATCATGTTCGAGTTGACTGGCGGCGTGCGATACATTGTGCCGCTGATGGCAGCCGCCATGGCCTCCAAGTGGGTGGGCGATGCTTTGGGCAGACAGGGCATCTACGATGCGCACATTGCGCTCAACGGTTACCCGTTCCTGGACAGCAAAGAGGAGTTTGCGCACACAACACTGGCCGCAGATGTAATGCAGCCCAAGTGAGTAATTTCTAAGTGCTGCTGGAATGTCTGGTTAATTTACTGCAACTTTCTTTTTAGACGCAATGAAACTCTTAATGTCATCACACAAGACTCCATGACGGTGGACGATGTGGAGAACCTGCTAAAGGAGACCGAACACAATGGCTATCCAGTGGTGGTGTCCAGAGAGAATCAATATTTGGTTGGCTTTGTTTTGCGCAGAGATCTTAACTTGGCCATCGGTAAGTTGCTCTTTTATACCTGTATTTTCCCTATATTAATATTCGTTGCTTTTCCAGGTAATGCCAAGCGTCTGATCGAGGGCATTAGCAGCAGTTCCATAGTAATATTCACCTCGACCACGCCAACCCAAAATCTGGGACCGCAGCCTCTCAAGCTGAAAAAGATACTCGATATGGCGCCCATCACGGTGACGGACCAAACGCCAATGGAAACGGTAGTGGACATGTTCCGTAAGCTGGGACTGCGGCAGACGTTAGTCACGCACAATGGGTGAGTGTGGGGTTCCGCTTCTGCGATAAAAAAACAAGTTGTTTATGCTATAAATATTCCATTACAGTCGCCTGCTCGGCGTCATTACCAAGAAGGATGTGCTGCGTCATGTGAAACAAATGGATAACGAAGACCCCAACACTGTGCTCTTCAATTGAATTTAACAGCCAATCGGAAGCTGGCCGGCCGCCGTCATAGCCGCTTCTAGAAATTACTATCGCAAACCCACAATATTTGATATGTGCAAAGTGCAGATTGCAGACCTAAGCTTAAGTGAAAAGTGAGCAGTTGGAATGGGCGGATATGCAGCGGATAGAGGATAGTGAAGGGAAGTTGACTGGATTAGTTAAACGCATGGATCTGAGTAATAGTTTTGGAGAGTGTAGTCATCAGACGAAAGTTCGAAAGTGAGAGATTTAGGAAAATTGTGTGCAGTTCTATTATATATTTATATAACCCCCCGTATATCTCGTTAATTGTATGTTATAATTTATTCTACGCTTAGGGCAAGTGTTTTTCAATACAAGCAAAAGTATTCATCTATTGCCATTTTGTAATTATGTCATTGTCTCCCTCCCGCTGCCCAAAACCTTTCTCTTTTGCACTGATCTTTATTTTTTGTATGCATACAAACAAGCCTGATAAAAACTGTACACTCACTATATTGAATGTTCGGTAAATGTAATGTAGCTCGTGTTGAGAATGTTTTACTTTTATGAATTTTAATGTGAAATGGCGCAGTTTTAACGCAGCTTACTCCCCGAGATGTACACCCGAAATAAGTCAATCTAATGCAATAGTATCAAATGGCTTTATTTTTGTTGCCCTTTGTTTCGAAATTCTAAACAGAGAAACTCTTGTTTAAGCAGAAAATACATAGTATATTTATATCTACACATGGTATTTGTTAGAGATCTGAGAAATTTTAAAATAAACTCGTGTAAATAGCAAGATTAACCCGTACACTAACTTAAGCAGTCATGCAAATACAAGCGATTATATCAAGACGAACACAGTCATCTTTCAATGCTCCGCGTAGAATAACTGAAACTCGTTGCCATACAGGCCCGTGATCAACCAGCAGCTGTAGGAGAGAATTGAACTTATAATAAAGTTGAGTGGATGTTAATCAAGAGACGGACCCATTGTCGCTGCTGCGGATAAGGCTGCCTTTGCCACGCAAGGCGCCCTTGACATACGCATGCGCACCATCGCTGACCCTGTAGTATTCCAGAGCCCCATCACTTGCCGGGCAGTAGATGATGTTCCCATCCCGGCTGCAGGCAATGACGTTCTTAAAGGGCAATGGTATCTGCACAATCAACTGAGCCATGTCCTGCCAGAAAAGAGAGATTATAAAGAGGAGCCTTAGCTGTATTTTCAGTGGATATAACCACCTCGTCTGCATGCCGCATGTCATGGTAGAACGCCTGTCCGCTGAGGTCGCAGCTGAGAACGAACTGTTGACCTCCCACTTCCGTCTTCAGCAGCGTGGAGACCATGAACCGATGTCGACGCAAAGGCAGCAGCTGCATCTGCTTTTTTGTGGTTGCAGCCTGGCGAGCAGTGCTCCAGCAGCGGTAAATGCCGCCATCATTGGTGCCCACAACAAAATCATCCAGTCCCAAAGCCACCATGGCCGTCAGCTCTGCGGTAACAGTGGCGGGCAGAGAGTATCTGCAGGGAAAAGTACAATTAGATGCAGCCAACTAAAGCTCTCATTGTTACTCACTCCCAGTCCAGGGTCATCTGCTTGCTGAGGTCCCACTGGCGAACGGATCCGTTGGCATAGCAGGCGAGCAGAAGCGTTTCCGTAACCCAGTCCAAGGCGACGGCTGCACCCTGCGCTGAGGATACGCTGTACAGTTGTTGGATGTCCACAGTGGCGTCACCGCTGCCACCACGAGACTGCACGTACAACCAGACAAACAGCTCCCCATCCATGGTGGACCCTGAGAAGATTGTCTTGTTGAAGGGATTCGTGCACAGGCTGCGCAGGCAGGACTTCAGCGGCAGTGCCTTGACCTCCGTGTAGATCACAAAGTTGCCATGGGACATTCGCTGTGGCACGAATAGCTTCAGCTGCTGGTCCACATGCTCGCACCAGTCGTCGTGGGGTGCAACTGTTGTGACCACCAGCACGGGCGCATTGTTTGTGTGGACACACAGCCAAATCGCCAGCCCCTGCGAGTTCTCCATGCCGCCCATGTCGATCTTCTGGTAAGTGTACACCTTCTGCTCTTCCTCCAGCGCTGTCTGACTCATCGTCTGCTCATCCATCAGGGGCGTGGGGTTCATCAGCTCCTGCTCCACCATTGGGCATATCTGGCTCAACCACTTGGCCAGCGCGCGCTCATCGTATTCAACGCACTCGCTTCTGGCTCCCACCCGTTGCTCTGTTTGGGTGGCCGCATGCTGCTGTTCCTGTGTCGCAGTGCTGGCATCTGCACTCGGTGGCGGCGGATCTGTGCCCGTGCAGTTGTCCACCAGTGCGTGCTGTTTTTCCAGAGGCTGTGTGGCCACAAATTCGACCACAGGCGAACTATAGTGCGAGAGTACATCCATTTTCTGTGAATTTGCAAAGTGCGCGTGTTGTGGCCGCAGCGTTGCCATAGCAACGGGCAACCCGCCTGTTTACACATTTGAAGTAGCGGTAACCATTCGAAAACGATGTTCAATATGGCGATCAATGCTAATTGGAATATTTAATTGAAGCGTTTCCATATTGTTTTTAATATACAGGCAGTAGGCTTTGAATCACAACGGGCCGTGTGTAGGAATTGTCACAATTCCGACAGCCGCCTCAACCTAACCTAAAGTAGGCTTTGCTTTCTTTCCAATTGCCACATATTTGGCACTAGGCATATTCATTTAATTTAATAATTTGCTAGTGCTAGCAGGAACTCTCCACAAAATAAGTGAACGCAAATTAATTGAGAAAAAAATATGTTGGGGTCTTGTCTGCGACTGGCCACAGGTAAGAGAGGCTTTGAAAAGTATTTATTGGCGATTCTGAATTGGAAAAAAAACGCCTGGGCAGTGTGTGCACGAATTGGCTCAAGAGTTGGCCAGCAGAAGGTAGCTCTGGTGCAGGGCCATGCGATCGGCATGCTGAAGTCTCCATTGGAGCTGCGTTGCCTTCATGCCGCTCGCCCGCTCAGCGCCAAAGATGGCAAGGGCAAGGATGATGAATGCGATGATCCGTGCGAAGTGGAAAATGACAAGGCAGGCGACTCCTGTGAGGAAACTCCACCCAAATTTAAGGATCCTTGCGATCAGGCCGTGAAGGCGCAAACCGTCAAGGCTTCGGACGAAACTTGCGAGTCAGAGCCACCTGAGAATGGAAAGGGTGATGCCGGCGGGGGCATAAAACTTGAGCATAAGGGCCGCGAGGGCTACATCCACGCTGTCATTGGACCCGTCATCGATGTATACTTTCCCGATGAGGTTCCCGAGGTGCTCAATGCTATGGAAGTGGTCGATGCACCCATTGGACGCCTGGTCCTGGAGGTAAGCCATTCTCATTTCCCCCCCGCACATTCTCAATGTGATCCGCTCTTCTAGGTCTTCCACCACCTGGGCAACAACATCGTACGCTGTGTGGCCATGGACGCCACCGAGGGTATCAAGCGTGGCCAGAAAGTCATCGACACGGGCTATCCCATTCGCGTGGCAGTGGGCAAGGCCGTCCTGGGGCGCATCATCAACGTGGTGGGCGATCCCATTGACGAGCGCGGCGAAATCAAGAGCGACTATCACTCGTTCATCCACAACGAGGCGCCCCTGCTCACGGAGCTGAGCGTGAAGCCCGAGATTCTGGTGACTGGCATCAAGGTGATTGATCTCCTGGCTCCCTACGTCAAAGGCGGCAAGATTGGCCTATTCGGTGGTGCCGGAGTGGGCAAGACGGTGCTCATCATGGAGCTAATCAACAACATGGCCAAGTCCCACGGCGGCTACTCCGTGTTTGTGGGTGCCGGCGAGCGTACTCGCGAGGGCAACGATCTGTATCATGAGATGATCGAGTCCAAAGTCATTTCCCTCGAGAATGACTCCTCCAAAGTGGTCCTCGTCTTTGGCCAGATGAACGAGCCGCCCGGCGCCCGCTCCCGTGTGGTGCTGACTGGCCTCACCATTGCCGAGTATTTCCGGGACTTTGACGGGCAGGACGTGCTGCTCTTCATTGACAACATCTTTCGCTTCACCCAGGCCGGATCTGAGGTGTCGGCCCTGTTGGGGCGCATTCCATCTGCCGTGGGCTATCAGCCAACGCTCGGCACAGACATGGGCACCATGCAGGAGCGCATTACCAGCACCCGCAATGGATCCATTACCTCGGTGCAGGCCGTCTATGTGCCCGCCGACGACCTGAGCGATCCTGCGCCAGCGGCCACTTTCTCCCACTTGGACGCCACCACGGTGCTCTCTCGTCCCATTGCCGAGCTGGGTATATATCCCGCTGTGGATCCCCTGGACTCGTCCTCCCGCATCCTCGATCCTGATGTGGTTGGGGAGGAGCACTACAACGTGGCCAGAGCTGTGCAAAAGACACTGCAGGGCTACAAGTCGCTGCAGGACATCATTGCCATTCTCGGCATGGACGAACTCTCCGAGGAGGACAAGATTACCGTGGCACGTGCCCGTAAGATCCAGCGCTTCCTCTCGCAGCCGTTCCAGGTTGCTGAGGTGTTCACCGGCTCCCCCGGCAAACTTGTGCCCATCGAGAAGTGCGTGGACGGTTTCAAGCGTCTGCTCAACGGCGAGTACGATGACATTCCAGAGATAGCCTTCTATATGGTCGGCGATGCAGATGAGGTGCTGGCAAAGGCTAATAAATTGGCCGCCAGCATGGCAGGAGATATAGATCCACCGCCGCCACCAAAGGCAGCCAAGAAGGAAGAGCCCAAAAAGTCTGAAAAGGGAGCCACTGCCAAAGATGCTCCAAAGAAAGAAGAAAAGTCGAAGGATGCACCCAAGGCAGAAGCCAAAAAGGACGATGCTCCTCCAAAAGGAAAGGGTGATTCTCCCAAAGACAAGAAGTAATCTTCCAAAGAAACCAAATAATTTAATAATTTTAAAAATAAACGTCATATAATGGTATATTTTTGGTATATTTAAACTATGTTGTGGTATCGGTATTTCTTATCGATAGCTCTCAGCTGTTTTTTGCCGGCGGCTTCCCCCTCAAAATGTTGCGTGTTTTTAATTTTCGCGTTGGAATTCGCGTATATTCTGTGAAAGCAGCCAAAAAAGATGCCAAAAAGTATACAGACACGATTAATTTACCAAAGACCAAGTTCCCCAGCCGACTCAGTGCAGCCAAACGCGAGGATCAGGAGCGACATGTGCTGGAGGTAAGTCTACACCATCCCGTTACGAATGGGCCATCTAACATGTAATAATTTTTCCACAGAACAAGATAGCTGTTTCTTATGAATATCAGGAGCAACGACAACTGGGTAAACCCACATTTGTGCTGCACGATGGACCACCCTATGCGAACGGACAGCTGCACATGGGGCACGCAGTCAATAAGATCCTCAAAGACATTACTTTACGGCAGCGGGTGGTCCACGGACAGGAAGTCAATTACATTCCTGGCTGGGACTGCCACGGTCTGCCCATTGAGCTGAAGGCTGCAAGTGCAGCAGAGGGCCAGAATGCAGCTGAAATACGACAGAAATGTATGCAAGTATTCTCTGTGATTTTGGACCACTTTTAACCATTACATATTTGTTGTTACAGCACGATCCTTTGCCCATGAGGCCATTCAGTCACAGAAAGAGGATTTCAGCAGCTGGGGGATACTGGCCAACTGGCAAAAGGACAACATATACATGACCTTCCGTCCAGAATTTATTGCCAATCAGCTGCAAATGTTCCACAATTTGTATGAACGCGGCCTCGTATATCGGGATTTAAAGCCGGTGTACTGGTCCCCGTCATCCAGGTGAGTCCAGATCCCTCCTTATTTTTGGATGAGTGGCTTATAAATGATCTTTCTTAGAACAGCACTGGCTGAGGCTGAGCTGGAGTACGATGCCAATCACAAAAGCCCTTCAGTCTATGTGCGCTTTGCCCTGAATCCCAATGGACTGGAGGTTGAGACCAAAGGAGCACAAATCTATGCACTGGTGTGGACCACAACACCCTGGACGTTGCCTAGCAATCAAGCGATTTGCTACAGTGCCTCCCTCGAGTACGTTTTGGTCAGACTTTTGGACCGCAGTCCAAGGGAACTTTATCTCGTGGCCTCCGCTCTCGTGGCAGACTTCGCGGCCTCTACGCAACTCAAATGCGAGGTGGTTCAGACGTTGCCTGGGAGCTCATTGAGCACGTTTACCTACAACCATCCCATAGACAAGGCACAGAAGAGTCTACCCTTCTTCGATGCCAGCCATGTGCAGGACAGCAAGGGCACCGGCCTGGTACACACAGCACCTGCGCACGGACCAGAGGACTTTCTGGTTAGCCTGGCCAAGAAAATACCCGTCAAGTGCATGGTGAATGAGGCGGGCGTTTACACGAAGGAAGCGCCTAGTTTTCTACACGGTCAATCAGTGCTGGAACAGGGTAATCCACTCGTGCTACAGCACATAGCAGAGGATGTTGTGCACTCTGCACAGCTGGAGCATTCGTATCCCATTGACTGGCGCACCAAGCAACCAGTTATCATTCGAGCCAGTGAGCAGTGGTTCATCAACACAGATCGGCTGAAATCCCGTGCTGCCGCAGCACTGGAGCAAGTAGAAATCTATCCACGTACCAATGCTGAGGCTAGCAAACGGGCAATGCTTACCCAGCTACAGAAGCGACCCTACTGGTGCATATCGAGGCAGCGCGCTTGGGGCGTGCCCATACCTGTGCTCTACAGTCGAGAGACGGGACAGGTTGTACTCAATGCTGCACTGATAGAACATCTCTGTAGTCTGCTGCGCAGTCAAGGTTCAATGGACTTTTGGTGGTCCAAACCACTGGAGGAACTACTGCCTGCACACATAGCAGCAGAACTCGGCCACGAAGTGAAGGATCTGGTCAAGGGCAGTGACATATTCGACATTTGGTTCGACTCGGGCAGCACCTGGTCTGCAGTGCTGCAAAAAGAACAGGTGGCGGATCTCTATCTGGAGGGTTACGATCAGTTCACGGGCTGGTTTCAATCCTCGCTGCTGACGAGCATCGCTGCTCGCGACTGTGCACCCTACAAGTGAGTAGAACAAAGAGCATTTTGAGTGCAAATATCAATCATTCACATCTATTCTAGGGCGCTCTTCGTTCATGGCTTTACAGTGGATGAGAAAGGCCACAAAATGTCCAAGTCGCTGGGCAATGTAATCTCCCCCAAACAGGTTACTAAAAAATACGGCACAGACGCTCTGCGCTGGTGGGTGGCCTCCCATGGCACCCAAAACATGTCCATTACAGTCAGCGACAAGCTGCTGCTGCAGGCGACTGAGAACCTCAGCAAGGTGCGCGGTACGCTGCGTTATCTAAAGGGTGTGATTGGAGAGCAGCAACCAGCCCAAGAGCATACAATGCATGATGTCAGCTATTTAAACAAGTATCTGCTGGCCAATTTGGTTGACTTTGAAGCAGAGGTAAGCACATATGTTTACTGAACGTCACGAGAACTAAAAGCGAAACGAATTTCTCTCTATAGATTGAAAAGCTGTACAAAGCGTATGAGTACAATCGCGTGGTGGCCTGCATTCAGAACTTCATTGCCAACCAGGTGTCTGCCATTTATGTGCATCTGATCAAGGATCGCCTGTACTGCGGCGACGATCGTGAGCTGCTCGCCATTCGGCAAACGCTGACCCATTGCTATAGGCAGCTGTGCAAGAGCTTGTGGCCCATAGCTCCCTTTTTGGTGGAGGAAAGCTGGAGCTACTATGACCTATCGGGCAGTGCCTTCCACGAGCAGTTGGTGCAGGCCCAAAGTGGCTGGCATGACCCCAGGGCCATTGAAGTTGTCAACGCAGCGCTCGATGTTAAGCGTCTGATCAACCAGCAGGCTGGAGAAGTCAACAGTTGGCACCTGGCTGTGACCATCATGAGTGGCAGCCAGCTGGAGCTGCTGCGGGAATTGCAACCGACTATCGGTGAATCCATGCGCAGCTCCGAGCTGTGTGAGATACTGCAGGTGGGCAGCGTGACAGTCGTGCAAACCGATCTGAATGAAGATCTGGAAATTTCCCTGACAACACTTGACACGCCGCTCTGTCCGCGGTGTCGTCGCTATAGTCTAGAGGAAGATGCCGAAGCAGAGACGTGCAGGCGTTGTTCCCAGGTAATGGAATTGAAAAACTAGTCGTTCAATCTTGTTGTTAATATTGGTGGAAGAGTAGATGTTGATGTGGTTTATGGTTAAAAACTTTGTAAGCATTTCATAATGGTGTCGCGCAGCTTGAGGCGCGTTGTTGGCCTTCCTCCGCATATAATGTGCGTTTCGTTGTCGTCAAACTTGATGGTGGTGTCCTCGTTGACAAGTTGTATGCTTAACGCGCCGTCTGTGCGATCCAGCTTGATGTTGGTGAAGCCATCCTGAGTCAGTCGCTTCATCACAGCCTCCACATCGATGCTGCCGTACTCGTACTTAACTTTCTGCAGCACATCCTCTTTAGTGGGGGCTACCCCGCCTCCACTGCTGCTGGTCTCCTCCTTTACGATGTCCGCACATGGCTGTATGCAGTGCACTTTATCCTTGACCTGCAGCACACCTGTGAGCGTGGAGAACGTCACTCCGGCGGCCACCTCACGTGGCAATATCTTCTGGGCCACCTCCGAGGTGAGGTAGATGCGGTCCAGCTTCCGCTTCAGTGGCAGCCTCAAAATCTCGCCACACTTGAAGGTTATAATCTTCTTGTCCGGCTGTTCGATGAACAGATTCGGCGCCGAAGGATGCGGCTTGGTGTAGGCCTCTGGAATGACCAACACGTTCGGTTTCAGCTCCTTGATCAACTTGTTGGCCTGCTGGTAGTTGAGGGAAGTGTCGATGGGGCAGTAGAAGGCCTTCATGGCCAGGGGCTGGAACGGCGCTAATACTTGCAGATAGGGAAAGTCGGGCTCCGTGAATATAATGGAGTTATTGGGATTGTTGCCCCACATTTCAATGAAGTGCACGGCATCGCCAAAGCGCAGGCTCGGATGACCACAGAAGACCACGCAGGGCTGTGCAATGAACAAGCATTATAGAATCAATCTTTTAATTATTGAATCTCTCCTCTCACCTGTCTAAAATCCTTGCTAAATCCCTCGGAGAACACGTGATTGTAGTGCTTCAGCTTGTTGTTGCGTAGGTAGAATGCGTGTGGGAAGGGATCATCTGGCAGATAGACCTTGTTCTGCTTGGCGGAGCTCAGCCACTCGGCTAGGATGTTCGAATAGGCCAGGGAGCTGTCCGCCACGGGGGATATGAAGAACATGGGCACATTGTTGAGGCCAGCGTTCTCCAGATTCTGTGTGAGGCACTCGAACAGATCGTACACCACGCCCGATGGATAGCAGGGTATCAGGGCGGAGCCATTGTTTCTTATCGTCAGCGCCACATTCATGCAAAGTTCGCCCAGTTTGGTGTCCGGGTTGACTGTGGGTGCCTGCGTCAGTCCCGTCATAATCAGAACATCGGCGTGCTTCAGGGCCGACTGATTGATGGGCCGCGGATGAGTAGTCAATGTGGAGGATCCGCTAACGTAGCAAATTTTCTCATGAGCTGTGCTCAGCACCCAATTGCTCGATCCCAGACAATAGCCAGAGCTGACTGGCGTGGCTATAAAGGCGCCCAGTATATCCAGCTTCTCGTCGTAGCCCATTATGGTCACCTTCAGGAGGCTGCCCTGCACATCTTTCAGGCTAAAAATTGTGCGCCACTTCTTGGCCCGAAATGCCTCGCACAGCGGACTCGGCAGCAGGTGCAGCTTCTCCTTCCACAGACGTGCCGTGCACGCCTTGGGCGAAACTTCGATGTAGTCGACCAGTTCCTCTAGAAAAAATCGTCCAATCTGCAGTGTTGGCTCCGTGGCGTAGACTTTGCCCTTGAACCCAGTGTTCTCCGTGATGTAAGGCAGAGCCAACATATTTAGATAATTTGAGATAAGTATCACGTCCACCTCGCTGAAATCCAGCATTTTGTCCATGGGCAGGTTGAACTCGGGCGTGGAGTCCACGAACACGCGGCCACAGCATTCCTTCAGCTCGCCATCCAGCTGTGGGTCATGGTCGCGGCCGGGAATGAAGTTGGGCAGGCTGGACCACTTCTGGCTCTGGACAAACGGCAGGGGCAGGAAGTTCAGCACGGTCTGCTCGGTCAGGCCGCAGTCCAGCATTATGCGAAGCCCCTTGAAGGTGATGATGTAGCATGGCTTGGCCAGGTCGCCGCTCAGGCAATACTGCGAAACAAAAAGTCATTTCCGCTGATAATGTTGTTATTCTGGATGACTTACCAAACGCATAGTTAGGTAGCGCTTGTCGCAATGACTGGGGAATCCGATTAAACAGTGGATCTTAATTGTTTATACTTTTTGCCAGGGATGGAAAGCAACTCAAAACGCCGACTGGTTCTAATGCTTGTTAAATGTTGGTTCATTTTTGTGTATCAACTTAAATCGGTCTTTAAATGACAATTAAATAATTAATCAGAGTTAAACATCAAAATGTGACTAAATTAAATGTAATTAGAAAATTAAATGAACTAATTCACTAGTTCATTGATGGTTGTGTTGCATCCCTGCTTACTCGGCGCTGCCAGATAGTTAGAAAAAGTTCATTTTATTTGGCGCGCAGTTTTACTTTTGAAAATATAAGATTTACATTAATTGATTGTAAACATGTCTCAATTTTGATGGGACTGCAACAAATCCTTCAACCAGAAAGAGTACATTGTGAAAACGACTACTACTGTTAATTTTGTGACATCAGACAAAGCCAGCTGATCGCGTTTCTCCGTGCTGGTAAGTGAATTTTGATTTTCATTCAACAAATACAACATTGGTGGAGGACTGTTTATAGTATTTGATCATTATATGGTTTATTAAAATTTGTTTCGATTTTGTATGTTATATGGAAACATGTGTGTGTGTGTGTGTATGCGTGGACCATTATGTATCCACTTCCAAATTGAATATTGCATTCCACTCGCCTAAGTCTAGAAAAAATACAATTTGTATGCTCGGTAGATATTGTAAGTTGAGTTAGGGTTTTGAGGGTTTGAGGGGGATGGGGGCTACTTCTATGGGGTTAGGGAGGAATCTCTAATTGCCAATTGGGCAGCATGTTGGACATGTTTTACTCCTGCCCAATAACGATGAGCCGCAATTGGTGTGAATACTCGTGGAGATAGAGATAGAGTTAGTTTATAGTTAGGTGGCGCTATACGCGCACGATTAAATTGAGAAAAAGTGTTATATATTAGTAGCCGTCTACGTATAAATCCTAATGCTGCCGCTTAAGCGGGCGAGCTAGCTGTTGCGGCAGCGGCGCCTGCGCCATCCTTCTTGGGTACCTTCTCATCGGAGCCGGTCTCCTCGATCTCAGCAGCCTCGGCCTCGGTGCCGGAGGCGCCTGCCTTGCCCGACGAGCGGCGACGCTTGCGGTTGATGCGCCACGGGCGCACGGGAAACTTCATGGCTGGCAGCTGGTCCATGCCGAGCACCTTGAAGATCTGCCGGAAGGCAATGAAGCGCAGGAATTGCTGGGCCGACACAGTGAGATCCTCGCGTTCCTGCTTGCTGAGCACCACCAGCGCATCGGTCGGATCCTTCTCGCAGGGATCCAGCAGTCCCGGGCCGTTGATCAGAAAGCCGGAAGACAATGCCTCCATAATGCGACGCATGCAGTCGCCGGGAGAGATGGGAAAGGCAGCCGATGAGATAACTTTCTCCACAAGCAATTCCAAAGACCACTGCGGCAGTGCCTGCCACGAGGGCACGCGCTGGCAGAGATCTCGCAAAATGCGAATGACCATGACGCACGATTGCAGACCAGTGGCCCTGGCCTGGAACCACTTGGCGTGTCGCAAGTCAGCCAGTGCCTGCAGGAAAAAACAATAACAGTGTCAGAACAGATGGATTTACCGATTTCAATTATACTCACTCGCAGACACGGCTCGCGGGGTAGCAGTTCTGCATCGCCAGTGGTAGCCGGTTCGCCTTCCTCCTGCTTGGCTGGAATCTCGGCCACATTACCCTCCCGCAGCAAGGGCGAAGTGAGTGTAATCTTCACAGAGACAGTCTCATCCAGCACTATAACAGCAGCATCGTCGGCATTTACCTCCACGCGGTAGGTGATCTGCATGTCGCCTGGAATGGAGAGCAAGAGGAGCGAATGTCAGCAAGGCGGTGGCATGGGCGGAGTGCAATGTTCTTAGAATTGGCTTGGATAAAGAGACAAACATTATGGGTGAAAGTGGCAAAAGTTCCATGTGTGGGCGGGCCCGCAATATATATACACAACAATGACAGATCGATAGATCGGAGTAGTTTAAATGGACGTGACGTGACGCATATGTAAAAGCACGAATAAATGTTTGTTTCTTCCCACGGTCCACGCATCCGCACTGTTCCCAGCAAACACGACGTTACGTTTCGTTTGACTTGCGTGCTGGGATCGGGATCCATTTTTTTTGGGGGTCTGGAAGGGTCGAGTCTCGTAAACGGAATTGCAGCATCGACTCGGATTCCAGCAATTCCACTTAGAGCGCGAGCAGTTGAATTTTGATTTTTGAACTTATTTTTGGGTTAGTTGGCAAATAATATTGAGCGAAATTTATCAGTTGGTTGCGGGTTTTGCGGGGATACGTTGACCCAGCCAGCCGCTCTCTTGGAGGAGTAGGAGGAGGAGTCAGTCAGCATTCTCCATTCATCACCGTACGCAACGCAAATTTCGGTCGCAATTTTTGTCTTTCATACACAATCAGTCTTGATACACACAAATCGGCTGCTTGGATAACAGATATATAGATAGATATAGTTTACACATATTTTGCTTGGTTTCGAGTGAGATGAGGCGGCAATTTTGGGGCTCAAGCATTTTGCAAATCTCAAAGCGCCTTTTATGCTCAAATCTGTGTGTGGATCAATCGCATTGCTTCTTGGCTTCGTGTTGGGTTCTGTTCAACATCCATTTTTGGCCAGCCAGCAAAGGACTTTATTTACACAAAGTTTGTTTTATCCTCGTTGCGATGTCTGTGGCGAGGAGGGGGTAGAGCGCCTAAACTTTGTATAAATATACTCCTTTGGTTATTTGTTTGTTTTCGTTTGTTTGGTTATGTTTGATTGGGATTAAGATCTCCTCAATCAACGCCTCACAACAACACTCTTCTTCCGCTTGCGGGGAACACGCGAGTACTCTGCGTACCCTGTGTACTGCTTGTTACCG